TATTTGGTTCTGGTGACCACAAATAACGAATTGAATTCATGAAGGGCTACAGTTCGATTCACCGAATATGGGAGTGAATCATAACAGCCTTAGCAAATACATATTTAATTTATCAAACATAAAGTATTCATGAATGAATATCCATAGTCCTTACCCTATCTCCATGAACTGTACCGTATTTGTCTCAGTGTACTCATTGCAGTCCTTGTGTTGTGCCTTCCATATGATATATTTAAAGGAGGGGAATGGTTTTGTTTGCGATGACAGCTCAAAAAAGATGTGAAAATAGATCAAAGCCATGGGATGAGCCGTGCCTCCACTGGAAAACAATCTTTATATTTGTATAGTAGAGTAATTAGTGGCACGAACGAAATTTGCAATAATAAACTTAAAACCTCAGTCATTGTACCACTATGCTAAATATGCTGTACAAACTGTCAGGTTTGTTGTTGTTTTGTTTTTGTTTTTGTTTTAAACATATTTTACCCAATCCTTTTCTCATGAATAAAATATGTTTAAAACAAAAACAAACAACTGTCAGGTCTGTAAGTCAAATATCTCATCAGGTTATTTTGTGTGATAGGATCCAGGATTTACGCAACAGAATATGATGTTAAAGTAAAAATTCATGATGACAGTGTTTGGGATGTATCTAGTTCACCAGGGAAGAACGTTTTAAAGAAGCATGTGCTTGCTCCTTGGACTACCAGCTGTACTATCACACCGCAAAGACTTCTTCCCAACAGTACTGCTGGAGCATGTAATCTGCTTTGGATCGATCCCACCAGTCAAGACAATTATCATCATGCTATAGTCAAATCAATATGGAATTCTTTTTTAAGATATTGAAAATGCAGTGCTTGTATTATAAACATTTTGTGTTGTGACATCAAGACACTATCCAAAGTCCATATCCAGCCCCATTGTAAATGCTTCAAGAACTGAACCAGTATCATTACCAATACATGCTTGTTCCACCTGGGAATTACTGGTTATTACGCTCCAGCAACCTGTCATGGTTGTAAGATGTTTGTTTCAGACAGAATAATGTTACATACAGCTCTTAAAGTAAGGTTTTTATTTCTGAACAGAGGAACCAAAAATAGTGGACGGATGAAAAACAACTTTTCCTTCCTTCTTTCTGTGCCTTCCTCCCTCCCTATCTTCCTTCCTTCCTCTCTCTCTCACTTTGTTTTGTCACTTTGATCTTTGTTATAGACAGAATAATGTTACATTCAGCTCTTAAAACCAAAGTGTATATATCAAATTTTACAGGAACAGGTGAGATAACGTATTGATGTAACCAGTTATACTCTTTTCCTCTCTCCCTCTCTTTCTGTCTCTCCTGTGTGTAATTACTCGGGACACAGCAGGTTTCATGCTGATAAACAAAGCAACCACATGTTACTGATAAACAAAGCGACCACATGTTACTGATATATCGTGGGTCCTGCAGACATAAAGCATGTTGAATTTGTGATGGGATATCAGTTTCAACACTGGCGTTGATGGAAACATGAGTTTTGAAATCCATGTTGAAAATGATGGTGCATTGTTGAGCGTTAGCAATATTTGCAATCTCACGATGAAAGAGGAATTCATTACTCGGTCTAACTAATATCAGCAGGATTGATACTGCTCTCATAGAGTTTTCATATTGAATTATGAGATGGAATTGTAAAGATACGCTTGTTCTGGTCTGGGATTTAAGTAAATGTTTTATAATTATTATCCGTCATTATGATAAATATTGTTGAGGAAAATGATTTTTTTATATTCACCCCTTGTTGGAAGAGGCAATTGTGGATTGCCTGGTTTGGAAGTGAGCCTTGGGCTCTGTTCTACTAAAGAAGGCGCAAAGCATCCCATATACTAAGCATACAAGAGTCTTAGCACAAAGATCATGTTGTGGAATGTATCCAAGGATGTTTACTGTGACAGTGATTTGAGTATTTTAACTATAAGCTAAGATATGACAATTGCTCAAAGATCAAGCGAAAGGATCAGGTGCGGAAATTGGCCTGGAGACTTTTCCTCAAAGCGATTTCAGCATTACTCTGTCTACATGTCTGTTTCGCAGAATGATAGTTATGATTGTACTACAATGATGCGATGCACAGATGATGCAGTTATACTTGCCCTCTCCCAAATTTATATTATTGTCTTTCTTGTAGTTTTTTTTAAAACACATCATTTAGCTGTATAAAGTATCATGGTGATCAAGTTGTTACTGAACCAATGATCTAAGCTTTCAACAGGAAGACTCAACTGACCAATGAGAACCATGCTTTTAATTCATGTAGTGTTAGAATATCCACAACTTGGTGGTACAATGCTTCTAGTTGGTCGTTATGTTAGAACGTACTCCAGTCATTATTGTATGAATCACACATATACACCAAGAATACTACCTGTAAGTTGAAGTACGGGAAAAGAAGCCCTCAGTTAAGTAATGATAAAGCTATATATGTTTATTTCTTGAAGTTTCAGGCTTTAATGAATGTATGGAGATTACACCTAATGTTTCACAGATGTCCCGACCTAATGAAATTGTCAAAGCAAAAACCCGCATCATTATACTGGTAACACTCTACTTTCACATGAAATTATGCATTTTTTTACCCCACTGCATCATGTCCAAAGCTAACTAGGGTTAGATTCTTAAGCTGCCCTCAGTTAAGTTTAACTGCATGTATGGGTTTGAGTTAAGGAACTGAAACCTACTTTCACATGAAATTTGCACCTAGTGCAACCTTAGTAGTAACTGCACGGTTTGAGTTAAGGAACTGAAACCTACTTGCACCTAGTGCAACCTTAGTAGTAATGCTTGTTGCACCATACAAACACAGATTACATCTGCTGCTCAGTATAGGATGATTTAGAACATTATAAGTTGTATGCTTTTATCGAGGGTAGTACGGTCTAATGAATGTCTCTTTGTAGCAGTGTCATCCCTCGCCTACAGGGCGTACATGAGACTGTATTACCTGAGGGAGAAGCATACAACGTATTTATCTTACCGCCATGTTAGATGTATAAAATATCATTTTATTTGATTTTGAAGATCGATAAGCTCGCTACCGACCATATGACATGTAAACAAAATGGCGTCTGCCTCTTGACTGGATTTTTAAAATCAGTGTAACATATTCTGACAAGCTTAAAACTGCTATAAAAATGGTTAATTATGTTTAAGTTGAGTGTGCAAACGATCACGATGCAATCTATGAAATAGTTTAAATAAAGCAGTAAAAGTTAGTAAAATAAATGTATACATAGTGAACTCAAAAACAGCTAATCAAACGTTTTTCAAACTCCAAGCACCGCATGCGTCATACGACTGTTAGCGATACAGCTCCTTGGCGGAGAGTTTCGGCTACCCTGGCAGCAGGTAATATTTTTTTCCAGTTGTCACCTTCCTGGTAGGGGTAACTTGTTAAAGCGTCATTGGCCAATGAAATTAAAGTATTTTACATGAAGGTAAGATAACATTATAACAAAACTGGTCTAGGTTTAATGAAATAATTTTATCTTCCTTCGTAAAATTTCATGTCATTAACAGTAAGAGTCATTCAGTCCCAGTCCATGGAGTCAATAGAATCACCAACCAGTGAATATTGGGTGTTCAGGCTCGCTGACTCACTCCATCCAAGTCACTGTCTTATGTTAGATTGAAACTGTTAATAAAGAATTATCACTTACAATACAGGTTTGTGAAGTCTTGTTTCAGTCCCTCTAATTCATCACTAGTGACAAGTCATATTGAATTATGTTAAACATGCATACTAAATCCATATGAGACACACAAGTGTAAACTGTAACCAATGGTGACATAGAAATATAACAACTACATGGACCACGATAGACAAGTGCTTACGGGGCCGATGACCATGATGCACTCTCAAGGTTATCATGTACTTTGGGGGATTACTCTGATAGGTAATCTTACTTCTTTGTAGCACTGGCAGAATTAACATTTCTTTGTTCGCTGATTCTATTTGGATAATGGATTGAACTTAAAGAATTAGGATCAGAGAAGATAAAATATCTTGATTTCTCAGATAATGACGTTTAAGAAATCCTAGTCCATTTCTCTTCATCAGGTTCATGACATAAAAATCACATCCGCATTTCCTTGATATTTTTCTGTGAATGCATCAAATAACGTATCTAATATATAAAAGGAATAACCCCATGTTGAGAGAGAATAATTAATATTTAATAGATTCAGATTTCATGGAGAAGATGAATGTGATAAATGCATTCCATTTTAATGACATTAACTGAGCAGCTTCAGTTGTAAGAAAGGCCATCATAAAAGGGATCAGTTATCCCAGATGACATTAAATTAATGTCATGGTGAGGTTTATTGAAGTTTTGACATGAATGTTCATTTAAAAAATCCGTACAATCATCATTCAAACTTCGGAATATCAGATCAAATTAATGACCTCGCCTTATTGGCTTGGACCATGCTGTTCTGATAATGTGAAAAACATTCGGCAGGTGAAGGAATATTTGCCCCATTAGTATCGTAATGACATTTTCAGTGTGTTCCATGGCAAGCTACCAATGAGCTTGAGCAAATAACAGCCATTCCAAGTGTATATACCATGGTTATATCAAGCCAGAGAGTATTTTACAAATGTCTTATGACCAATGAAATGCTGTATCATGTTGCCTTTCTTGCTATTTGCACTTCCTATTTTCAATGCAGTTTGACTACATGCAATGATAGTAATTTCAAGTGTGCCGAGACGTATTATATCAACTCCAGAGTGTGTTTTATGAAGCTTTTATGACTCATGAAATGCTGCTTCATGTTGCTATTCTTGTTATTTGCACTTCCTATTTTCAGTGCAGTTTGAAAGCCTGCAATGACAGTCTGTTTGAGTGTGCCCAGAAATATTATATTGACTTCAGAGTGTGTTTTACGAAAGTTTTATGATCCATGATCCTGCTTCATGTTATTGTTTCAATATGCATTTCTTTTTTTTCAGAGCAGTTTGACTGCCTGCAATGATGGCGACGTATTCAGCGTCGCGGAGCTCGGTTGACCTGGCAATCGACCCTCTGATCACATGCAAGCTGTGTCTGATGGAGTGTCTCCTGCCAGAGATGTACGAACTGCATGACTGCAAGTGTCTGTACTGTGAGTCGGTAAGTTGAACACACGATCTACTGGCCTAGTGCCAGGGTTGATTCAGTACAGTATATTGTGTCAGTATAATACATTACAGTCATACACTGTTGTGTCGAACCTTGATGTGTCAAAAAAATGCTGTTTGAGTACCATCTTTTACAGTTAAACAATATTGTGTCAAACTTACTATTTGAGGTATATCAGTGTATGAAATAAGCCTAAAACCCAGCCAGATATCAATGGATTTAACCAGGCCAGACAATCCAAAGAAAATTACTCCGATGTATGGAACATCTTATCTAAGAATTTTTACCAGACCATCAGGCTGGCTTGCTGTCAATTTAAACCGTCTGTCAGAAATCTAGCCCATCTTGGGCAGTCGGACGGGCCTTATTTCATACACTGGTTTTATGTATTACAGTCACACACTGTTGTATTGAGTCTAGATGTGGAAGACCTACTGTTTGAATATAATATAATACAGTCAAATACTGCATCGAACTTTGATGTGGCGAACTTTCTTTTGAGTCAAAATTGTATGTGTCAAACATACTGTTTTTGTATAATATATTAAAGTCAAGCACCATTGTGTTGAATATGATGTATCAAACGCGGTAGTTTTAAAGTAAAATTTTGGTCCCTGCTTCTTTAGTCAGTATTTTGTGGTTGTGTTAAACCTTGGAGAAATAAGAGAGTGAGTGAGTTTAGTAATACACCGCACTCAGCAGTATTCCAGCTATATGGCAGCAGTCTAAATAATTAAGTCTTGACCAGATAATCCAGTGATCAACAGCATGACAGCGATCTACACAGTTGGGATACAATAACATGTGTCGACCAAGTTAGCAAACCTGACCACCCAATCCTGTTAGTTGCCTCTTATGGATATCTAAGAGTATTTATATAGCTTGCTTCAACCTCGACACAATAGTGTTTGACTGTCACATAATTCAATAAATATTTGATGTTGATTTGTTAGGGACCAAAGAATTGTCTTTTTTTATGATTCTTTGGGGAAATTAGGATAGCCTGGTGATTCAAGTTTTACAATGTGCTGCAATAGTTGACACCCTGGCGTGCTGCATAGACAGTATGTTGTCACAGACATGTCTTTCACTGTTCAAAATGATTTATGCCCCAAACATCATTAACATTGTCCTGCCATATGAAATAAATATACATTTGTGCCATTATCTGTTCCATGTTGTAGTAGCTGGAGACAATATTGACTGTCACTGTAAGTGTTTACTGGTGAAATATGCTGACGGTATGACCTGATTCGCATTGGTGCATTTGAATGTGTCATTAGTGACAGTGTGGATTAGGAACAGGCCCACATTTTAACGATCTAACAGCCTTTGACAGTTCTTTTTAAAATGATTTTTCCACAGCTGAACATGATACTGCTTCTAAATCCCAACTGTGCGACTCTGTTATTGTCATCTCCGGGACCTCCAGTGTGTTAATAGCATGTCTGTTACCGATTGGTTGTAAGAAATGTTATGGTGTTTATTTTGTTCTTGGTTTTCCATGTTTACTGATTAATAGGTTATACTGACTGACTGACTGAGTTTGGTTTTACACCATTTTTTGCAATATTCCAGCGACATCACGGCGGGGGACACCAGAAATGGGCTTCACACATTGTACCCATGTGGGGATTCGAACCCGGGTCTTCGGCGTGACGAGCCAACGCTTTAACCACTAGGCTACCCCACCACCCCTTAATAGGTTATACAGTTGATATTGCTCTTGATGAATGGTATTGGCCTCATAATAGATTTGTTGCAGCCCTAATTTGAATCAGTCCTGTGGAAATGTGTCACTTATGTAAGCAGATACCTTGAAAAGTTCAGAAAAAATAAGTTGAACATGTTACGTTTTCAACATTGATAATATTTTTGTAGGTGGACAATACCAGGGATATGATACGTGCAGACTTTTTTATAGCCTTTCATAGATGATTACTTTTATACCTTTGTGAGTTCAGTCTGTGATAGCATAGTAGGAAGTCTTAACGCTCGTAACGCTTGTGAAGTTGGTTCGGCCTTTTGTTACATACTTACTACAGATACTATTGACAGTACTATTCAGCAGTGTTGATTTACGTGATTAACATTGAATGTGAACACATACATGCTTTTAAAATAACATAAATATGTTTATTTACAAACATTTATTGTAAAGAAAACATTAACATATATACAAAAACAAGCACAAGTCCTAATTATTGATTTATGTAACATTTATTTACATGTTAATCTGAACACAATAATATTTCTGCTTTGGAAACAAAAGTGAAACAGGGGGAGTTACACTTACCATTTCACCTACACTAATGTGAGTGAGTAAGTTTAGTTTTACGCCGCACTCAGCAATATTCCAGCTATATGGCGGCAGTCTGTAAATAATCGTGTCTGGACCAGACAATCCAGTGATCAACAACATGAGCATCGATCTGCACAATTGGGAACCGATGACATGTGTCAACCAAGTCAGACCTACACTAACGAATAGTGCATCAATGGCTTGACATGGAATTCCGTTTGACAATGATTTTATGCTACATAATCAAAGTTTTATTAATTAACTAATTAATACAATGGTGTTGCTAAAGAAGGCTGAATCAAACATGGTGTTACAAGACCTAGTGGGAATATTAAACAGAGTTAGCTCTAAAATGCCAAGCAGAATACAGTTATTTGGAGTCAAAAGAGTACATTTACTTTCGAAAAAAACACAAATTATGTATGTACATACTGGGTCTCTGTCACTAAGATGGATTGTTTTGTATCAGTATGGGACTTCAGGCACTGGTATGAAGAATGAATCTAAGAAAAGTTCTTTTGGGCAAGTAAGCTTAGTGATCTAAAGTCCATGTTAACACTTAACTGTAGTAGATAATTTGATAAGTTAGGTCTGATAGTATTGCAGATGTGTTTGTCACAGACTGTAAGCAGCCAATTGTGTGGTGACCTAGGGGGCAAGCCCTATTTGTAAGAGAAATTATTAACACATTGTCGTATTTCCTATCTCACAAACATATCACGTAATTGCCTATATGCACAACCTTGACATGCAAACACAACAGTAATTTATGCTTAAAGATTGGACATGCATGCCATGTATTGAGGGTTTAATTAAAGTTATGAATATGAAGATAATCGAGCTCTATGTTCAAAACACATTGTGTTTCTTTTGATTCTGCAGTGATGAAAAATCTTTCTGCTGTTCACGATGTATTGAGGGTTAAGTGGCATGGCAGTGTTTGAATGGGGTTGTTTGAATTGAATATGGGATAGACCAATTAAAGCCCTGTTTCAGATTGTATGGGACAATGTTGTTATCATTATACCTTACTTGCATCAATTTATGATATATATATGTAAGGGACCGTTCATAACTTGTTCTCTCTCTCTCTCTGTAAGGGACCGTTCATAACTTTCTCTCTCTTTCTCTCTCTGTAAGGACCGTTCATAACTTGTTCTCTCTCTCTCTCTCTCTCTCTCTCTAGGGACCATTCTTGTTCTCTCTCTCTCTCTCTCTCTCTAACTTGTAAGGGACCTCTTCATAACTTGTCATCTCTCTCTCTCTGTAAGGGACCATTCATAACTTGTCTCTCTCTCTGTTCTCATAACTGTTTCTCTCTCTCTCTCTCTGTAAGGGACCATTCATAACTTGTTCTCTCTCTCTCTCTCTCTCTCTCTGTAAGGGACCGTTCATAACTTGTTCTCTCTCTTTCTCTTTCTCTCTCTTTCTCACTCTCACTCTCATTCACACACACACACACACACACACCTTGACTGTAAAGATATGTTGCTATCTTTAGGAAGAGATTATTGCCAAATTTCAAGCACTTTGTTGTCTCTGAAATGTAAAGTACATTTTCATATTGGAATTCAGTTGTTTTTTGCTTTCCAACATCTGTTGACCCAGATACTTTGAATATTGTAGTAACAGTATATCTTTTTGGAATGTAATTGTACATAATATCATTTCAAATTGCCTGATGGTAATGTCTGAAAAAGAATGAGTTTTCTGTGAATATTAGCAGTAATGCAGCCGCTAAATTGTCTGATATGTGATTGACCAATCAGAATGATGTAATTTCATAAATCATGGTAGACTAGATATTGTTTGCTATAAGCTGATCAACTGCAGCCCGTGAGCAGTCAACTGTCACTGAATGGTTTTATAGATACAGCAATAATTAATCAATAACTGATTGAATAGACTCGTTAGACCAAGACCCATAGGGAGCTCTGACAACAATATTGATAATATATATGGTCACTATATCAACAATGCTTGTTATAGGAAGCATATATATTGGTTCCGGTGGTCAGATTCAGTGACTTGATTGCTTGTACATGTATTATGATCCAACCGTGTGGTTCAATTGTCATATTGTCAATCACTGTATTGTCTGGTCCCGACTCAATTATTTACAAGCTGCTGTTAAACAATAAAGAAACATTGATGTTTGGTGTGTTTGATTCAAGCATGAAATGCTTATGTTAGGGAGAATGGCTTCTTTGTCAAAGGGAACAGTCCTTTTTACTTAGGTTGTCATGTACATATTTTGTGTGTATTGTATTGCAGTGTGTACGTCAGTACCTGACAGTGATGATCACCGAGGGCAACGTATCCGAGATCACGTGTCCAGATGCTCAGTGTAAGAAGCAAGGCAAGATCGAAGGTCCAGAGGTGAGCACAGGGGACCTCAATAATCCAGACACTCTCATTTCAGCACCCATGAAGATCCGGGTTAGAATTGGTCTTCAGTAACCCGTGCTTGTCGTAAGGGGCGTCTAACAGGATTGGGTTGACGTATGTCATTGTATCCAAATTGCGTAGATCGATGCTCATGCTGTTGATCACTGGATTGTCTTGTCCAGACTTGATTATTTAGAGACCACCGCCATATAGCTGGAATATTGTTGAGTGTGGCATTGAACAAGCCAACCAACTCTCATTTCAGGATAAGAGAAGGATAATCTCTTAATCTTGATTAATAATAGAGGCAAGATATGAACGACAACTTCTTTATTACATTATGATGCTATTAATGAATTTTTCATCAATAAAGTATCTTGCCATTATTGTTACTATTTAACCTTTAAACTTGCATCATAGTATAACAAAGATGTAAAGTATCTTGCCTTTAAGAGAAAGATTTTGTTGGATGGATGACTGATACTCTTGTAGAAGTTGTGAATAATTACACTCCAAATGCTCGATTGAGTGCTTTGTTACTTGCACTGGTGCAACCCAATATTACAAAATGCAACCAAGTTATTAGTCTAACTTGCACCAGGTGCAAGTCAAGTTTCAAGAAATAAATCAACAATAAATCTAACATTAAAAGCATAAAAAGTCAGCTCATATTTCTTCTAAACTTTGAATAGGAATGGCACCAAAACATTGCTATTTATAGACACCTCGTGGCTATGACAGCTACAGTAACCTGGGACCAGCTGTGTCTCTGTATTGCTATGGTTTCATGGGTCCAATATCACGGAAATATGTTTTTGTGCACCGAAACATCTGACCTTTTAACACACTACGTTGCAACTGGAATGTGGCTGGTGCTACTAGGTGTTTATCTCAGGTTGCACCTGGTGCAAGTAGGTTAACATCTCTTAAATCCAGCCCTGACTCCTGATTACATAGGTGGCTTTGAATCAATACACCATAAATAACACAGGCAGTAGTTAATCTTTTTGACTCGTAATACCACTACACCTTAATAACACAGGTCATAATTCATCAGTGAGTGAATGAGTGAGTTTAGTTTTACGCCGCACTCAGCAATATTCCAGCTATATGGCGGCGGTCTGTAAATAATCGAGTCTGGACCAGACAATCCAGTCATCAACAGCATGAGCATCGATCTGCACAATTGGGAACCGATGACATGTGTCAACCAAGTCAGCGAAACTGACCACCCGATCCCGTTAGTCGCCTCTTACGACAAGATAGTCGCCTTTTTATGGCAAGCACATGGGTTGCTGAAGACCTATTCTACCCCGGATCTTCACAGGTCCATAATTCATCAGTACGCCCCTAATGAGTGAGTGAGTGAGTTTAGTTTTACGCCAGTCTCAGCAATATTCCAGCTATGTTGCCGCGGTCTGTACTTAATCGAGTCTTGACCAGACAGTCCAGTGATCAACAGTATGAGCATCGATCTACACAACTGGGATACAAAGACATGAGTCAACCAAGTCAGCGAGTCTGACCACCCGATCCAGTTAGTCGCCTCTTACGATAAGCATGGGTTACTGAAGACCAATTCTAACCCGGATTTTGAATTATGCTGTATATATCATGATACCTTTCACTGTACTGCCTTGTGTATCCTAATTTATTGGGATAAAACTTGAACCTCCCAAACCCATCTCTAATCATTACACTGTCCAATACCACAGGTGGTAAGGAGTCAGTTCACACCTAATGACATTGATAAGGATTTTATGTGCAAGTTTTTGTTTCAGATTAAAAAAATGGTTGACCACACAACATTTGAGAGATACCAAAGATTACGGTATTTGAGGGGTAAGTAGTTTTTCTTACACATTTTACATTTTGTTATGGGTCCAAAATGCCTTTGAAAGAAAGATATTATCTTACTTTTTAATTGTGTTTTGGTTTGAAAAACTGAGCTAGATGGGAAACAGCAGGTGATGTAAGCAAATGAGTGAACAAATGTTGTTTTATGTCACTTTTTTAATGCTACAGAAATATATCAGGGCAGGGGATACCATTATTGGGTCTTGTACATTGAACCCATGTGAAGAATTGAACCCAGGTAACGCCTCAACCACTGAGCTACCCATCACCCCATAAGCAAATTAACACCAGTTGGAATTTACACGAGCTTACCAGCCAAAGCGCTGGCAGTCTTTGCCAGCATGTATATAAGGCCTCATTTTGGGATAGTTAATAAGTTGAGGTAGTTAAAAGAAATAATGCAAATAAACTTCATAATATATCAAAGATGGATCAGTAAGTAAGATAGACATTTATATAAATCAATAATACTGAATAAATAAGAAAATATATAAGTAAGTAAATGAGTTGATAGCTCTAAAATCGTTCAACTAGATATAAGAGAAAATGTTGTCTATTTTGCCATTTTGTATTGCAGAGGTTGACATGGACCCCAACCGTACCTTCTGTCCCGAGGCTGGCTGTGAAACTGTCTGCCATGTTTGCTCAAGTCCAACACCTCCCCCGGAGGAGAATGTCCATCCTTCACCTGTCCAGTGTCCAACAGTATGGTCATCACATATCCTACACTTATGACCTGTTTCTCATATTTAAACATTAGTGGGTTGGTTTCTTTGTTCAGGGTGAGCAATTAGTGTTTATGATCATGGTCTAGTGCAAAATGTGATTTTCGCATTGTTCTTTGAGAGTTATCTTTCCTTGCTTCCGTTGCCATGGTTGGTACAGGTATTGATTTAATTTTTATCTTTGAAGATAAAGAAAATTGTGTGGTTTTGTTAAACTGTCTTTTCACTTTGTATAATTTATTATATTTTCATGTCAGGATTTCTTTGAAGACATTTCCATTATTTCAGAGAAGCCAATTTTCCTAATGGCTGTTGAAATAACTATCATTACGACCTCATCATGGTACTCTAAGGATCAGTTAAAATGACAGATGTTCTCTTTTTGCAGTGTGGTCTCAAGTTCTGTTCAATATGTAAATCCAAATGGCATGCTGCCAAAACTTGTGATGAGGTGATGGCGTCTGGCAGACAGGAAGACCTCGGGTGAGTTGTTGTTCGCAGGTATTTTGTGAGAAAGAGAGACGGCATGGCCATTGGTGGTCATGTGGTACACTAGCGTCTTGTTAAGTTTATTCATTTGTCAAAAAGTGAATGAAAACTATAAATAATATCCTCCCTCTTTACCCTGTCCAATAGGAAAACTGTGTCTGATAAGAAGGAATCTTAAATAATCGTGACCAACACATGGAAAACACATGTGAACATCCTTAATAATAAGTATGATTCACATGTGTTCAATAAGAAGAGACAAAATGTCAAATGTTCAACTGCTCACTATTTATCCTTAGTCACTGAGTCACATGATTGATCAAAAAAGTTTTTTGGGTTGGCACTTTAATACCAGAGGGGACCGCCTCCGTGGTGTAGTGGTTAGAGCGTCCGCCCGGAGAGCGGAAGGTCGTGGGTTTCGATCCCCAACCACGTCATACCAAAAGACATTAAAATATGGTACTTGTTGGTCCCTGTCTGGCGCTCGGCATTAATGGGTACAACAAGGACTGGTCGGCTCGGAGTCAGTATAATGTGTCTGAGTGTGGTATTCATGCTTCACTGCGGCATGGTATCTCTGTGGGCTAGCACTATAAAACCAGCTTAAGTCTGGGCTAGTACAAGCAGCCGCACATACACATACACACGCATGCACGTCGTCATAAGAGCAAAATATTCTCAAGCACGACGGTAAACCCAATTTCACCTCACCTAATATCAGAGGGACGGCAAACCGTAACATCTTTCATGGTGCCCAGTGGCACACTTGAGCACTTGTCCCAGAACTTGTATCATTCACACTGTTAACAACTGTGTCAAGGAAAGTCAGTGAGTGAATATAGTTTTATGCCACGTTTAGCCATATTCCAGCAATATCAGGGTGGGGACATCAGAAATGGATTAAACACATTGTACCCATGTGGGGAGTTGAACCCAGGTCTTCGCATGACGACTGAACGCAACTGATGCAAGGGGCGATGGGGTATCCTAGTGGTTAAAGTGTCTGCTTGTCACGCTGAAGACCTGGGTTCGATTCCCCACATGGGTAAAATATGTGAAGCCCATTTCTGGTGTCCCCTGCCATGATATTGCTTGAATATTGCTAAAAGCGGCATAAAACTATACTCACTCACTAATGCAAGGGTGTTGTGCTATGGATGACTGTGCTATTAAACAAGACTCATTCACGACGTGTCTGCTAATGTTGCCCTCGTTTCAGCATTCCATTCAGCAGTGCTGAAGATGCGAAGATCAAGCGGTGCCCCGTCTGCCATGTGCCTATAGAGAGAAATGATGGCTGTGCCCAGATGATGTGTAAGAGATGCAAACATGTTTTCTGCTGGTACTGCTTGGCGTCTCTAGATGTAAGTGTACACAATTATGCCCTTTTCATTTGTTTGTTTATTGTTGCGGAGTCAAGCAATAATCCTGCTGTTGGATGGTGAGGGACCGTACATAATTTATGGCTAGGGGGGGTGATGATGATTTTTATGGAGGAGCATGTACAATGTGAATGACACCCCCCCCCCACCGCCCAAATTTATGTACAAAATAAGTGACACACCCCCTGCATGTCATGTACAAAATCAATTTTTAAGTACAAAATTGATGACGGACCACCCCCACCTAGTTAGTGTGTACAAAATTGATGACCCCTCCTAGCTCGCCAGAAAAAAATGGGCGCGCGCACACACACACACGCACACACACAAAATAAATTATGAATGGTCCCTAACCTGTAAATATTCAAGTCTGGACCAGACAACACAGTGATTGATATTTGGAGTATAATGATTCATATTACTAAGTATTATGCTGTTCAATGATCACTAGTACAATCAACCAAATCATTGAACCTAAGTAACTGATCCATTCAAGGACAAGCACAGATTACTGGGACCATTTCTAATGTCCTGTATAGGATGAAAACAAAGTTCTTCCATCTTGCAACATTGTCCTTCCAACATCAAAACACATTTGCAAAAATGCTATTGTATTTCCCATAGAGACTTTTGTTGGAGCAATTCCTACTTAACAATATACTAGAGATATTACTGCTGAGGTTTTGAACTTGTCAAGTTCACTGCTATCACAGTCAGTGTGTGAAATAGTTTCCAAAGTTTGCTAGCCAGTTGGGCTAGCTATGCCTGAAAGCTACTAGCCTACAGAATAATTCACTAGTCCGAAGTTTGAATGTAGAAACTAAGCAAAATGTTCCACAAAGGTAAAATATCATCATTTATCCAGCCATAATCATGCATGAAATTAAAGTGTGTTATAATCGGAGAGAGTGATATATGTAAAAAATGAACCCATGAAAATTCATTAGACAGTCAGGCCAGTGACTGTGGAAAATTTACTGGCCTGACTGGAATTCTACTAGCCACTGGCTAGCGGACCAGTGGCTATTTCGCACACTGATCTCAGTTCTTTTTTACACCAAATACATTTCATTCTAGATCAGGATCAGGTGGTTTGAAACCTCCAGCTAACACTGTTTCCGCAAGTCCTATACTGAAATATAAAAACATACAAAGTTTATCTGCCTAATATAAGATCTGGATGTGGATTGTTTTCGCAGGATGACTTTCTGTTGCGGCATTACGACAAGGGGCCATGTAAAAACAAACTGGGACATTCCAGAGCCTCTGTGATATGGCATAGAACACAGGTATTGTATGACTAACCAGAGACATGTCTGTTTTGTGTAGGGGTGAAACGGTGTGCTCTTACCCGGTATGGTACGGTACATACTGCAGTACAAGGCCTTCAGTTCGGTACATGAGATATGAGCATAATGCAGAAAATTGACAAGAGCCAAACCTTACATTGTTTAATAACATGGAAAATATTAACCATAATTTTTGTTATTTTGAATGAACAAAACTGTCATTTTATGACTAGATAGAAATGACTGTACGAAAACCGAAAATACCGAATTTTTGGATTCAAAAATATACCGAACCGAAGGAAAAATACTGTGGTTCTACTGATACCGCGGTATACCATTTCACCCCTAGTTTTGTGATGTGTATGTGGACCTGCATGAGAGATCAGATGTAAAGAAAGTTTAAAAACATGGTATCATGAATGTATTTATATGACTGACGGATAAGTTAAACTACATTATAACCATCAAGCTCATAATGACCTGACAGATGTAACTTTTTTTCTGGGTCTCAGTCACTTGTATGTTGCAGTCGAAATAAATGCGTAAGATGAACTACAGTAATAGATGAACACTAAAAATAATAATAGTAACTGTAAAATATATTATTTCAGAAATATATATGTTTTTTTGTCCCTTCAGGTGTGTTAAAACCACAGTGTACTTTACCGATAGTTTGTCATTTATGCTACATATACAATATATAGAGAATACTACACGAGGTCTCATTACATACGAATTATACGAAACGAGTGTCCTTCCTATGGTATCTGACCGAGCGAAAGCGAGGTCAGATAGCATAGGAAGGTCACGAGTTTCGTATAATTCGTATGTAATGATACCGAGTGTGGTATTTTATTTATTACCCACGTCTTCCATGCATTAAATTGACAAAATAGCGCATTTTTGTTAATATTTTGGTTTCAAACCGAAACCGGTTTCATAAAGAGGTTGCGGAAGAGTTTTGTACTGTAGTACAATATTTGCATGACATCACACTTTAATGACGTCACTGCCTTGGTAACTGACGTCACGATGCATGTCAGTTGTCATCGCCTCGTACAGCCTCCTACAGTAAACTACTCCGTAGCACCCCGTTTCTTGGTTTGCAGTTGCTTCATTCGGCTAACATCACTGGTGGAAACATTGCGTTTATGTTTTTCGACGGATATAATGTCTCAGTTCCACTCACAATTAAACAGCGACACGGCAACGTTCGCGATGTTTACATTCCCACAATGCATTTAAGTTGTAGAATGAATGAATTCACGTGTTTGTTATGAATGAAAAAAATAGTTACGTCAGAATGTGACCTAATTGAGAGGTCAACGGTTATCCAATCAAATCGTTAGAATATCAGGTCAAGCCGTTACGACACAGGTCAACGCGATACGACACACGTGTGACGTATGAGATTAGTATGCAACTACCCATACGTTGACCACGTGGATAATAAATCTTTTTATCCCTGACATTAAAAATGTTATGTTTTTGTGTTATGCATCGCTGCATTACTATCCAGATGTCTCATATCAAAGTGTAACTTAAATGCTATTCCTTCTTTTTCCAGGTGGTAGGTATTTTCGCAGGTTTTGGCGTGCTTCTCTTGGTGGCATCTCCCTTCCTCCTTCTTGCTGCACCATGCATCCTGTGCTGCAAGTGCAAGATGTGCAAGTGTTGCGAAGACGAGGAAGGCGATGGACTCGCTACTTGACACGGGATGCCATTGCATGGTTGAAGTCATTTCGGAGGATAGTCAAGCCAAATTGTTATAGAAGCAAAATAATATATGTGACATGACAGTGAAATATCCTCTTTTTGTACTTGTATGGGAGTTCAAGGTGAAATCTGAAATATTTCAAGATAGGTGAGACTGGGAAATGAGATGTGACAATATATTGAGATATCGCCAAGCAGGGAGAAGTCAGTGTGCTGGTTTGCAGTGTCACATTCCCATATGGGTGATCTCAATGGCAACTCATGGTGCAACAGTTAGCTAAGAGAATAAGTAATACTGTTTAACATGCTGATTGTAAGTAGACTTCTGTAGGATTCAAAAGCCAATTCTCAGCATCATGAAGCTCCAGGAGGCTTTGAATTTTACTTATTACCCTCTACCCAATAACTGACTGCTGAGTAAAATATCCTTTATTGTATAGCATTAAACAGAAGAGTCTAATGAGTGCCCTGTTCCGTTAAAGAAATTATGGGATGGTGTTTGCTAAGTCAAAACCATCATTTTTGGAGAGGGAACCCAAAGTTTTCTGACTGAAATTTTCTTTGAACCCTGTGTTGTGACCATAAGAAATTTTGGTTCAACAAATATGCTGGTAGGCTGGACAACAAGTATTGCTTAGAACCATGAATAGTCCTTTCATGCAGTCCAGATGGATATTTAAAAATGTTAAATTTAAATATCTTTGTTGTTTGATTTTAACAAAATTAAAGAGCATAAATTGGGAGAATATTTCCATTATAAACGTATGCATGTTTTAGAGTTGAGGAGCCAGTTTTGTGGAACCATTGTGTTCTTCTGGCTTCCTGACAAACTATATTTGTCAGGTGTTAGTAGTGTGCTTTCTCTCAGACCACTGTTGCATCAAATGCAGTTTAGGTTGTATAATATGTACAAATATATAAATAGCGTGTTGACATTTAGTGTGCAACTGTAAGAACCCTAGCTGGAGCTGTGATGTCATGTCCATTGTCTGTCTGGTCAGGACCTAGTAGAAAGTGAGTGTTACTGATAGTTTGGTATTTATACTACATATACTGCCCAGCTGTTGTCAGGGAAATCAGCCAGCCCAGTGTAGGACTGAGCGTCAGTTACTGGAGTTTATGTCATAAGTATTCATTTATTGCCCTTGAGTCTGTTCTGCTAGAGCTGTCATTAGTGTGTGTTTCATATTGAGTGAGTGAGTTTAGTTTTACGCCACATTCGGCAATATTCCAGCTATACGGCGGCTTTGTAATAATCAAGCGTGGACCAGACAATCCAGTGATCAACATCATGAGCATCGATCAATGCTATTGGGATACAAAGACATGTGTCAACCAAGTCAGCGAGCCTGGTCCGGATAGTAGCCTCTTACGACAAGCATGGGTTACTGAAGACCAATTCTAACCGAGATCTTCACAAGTATATTGAGTTACAGTTGTCTAAGGACCAAGAGTAAGGACTCCTCAAAGCTGCGTAGAGCCCATACTTAAAGATAGCTTTACTATAGTCGTGGAATAAATCTGCTCTTTGGAAACAGGCCTAGAGATCCATTCCATAAACTTCTGACTGTAACTCTCATAGGTGTTTGTGAGTTACAGTTCTACCTGCTTGAGATAGTGGGTTTTGTTTAAGTTACAAGTCTGTAGAGTCTGTTCAACAAAGTGATCTAGCACCATGGCTTTAAACATTTGCCATCTTTAGGTGTTCAGACAGTCCTAGCACTGGGAATACTTTGTAGACTTTTGTCTTATAATAGCAATACATGGATATATGGAAGCTAGAAGTGAAACTACTACAGTAGAACCCCACTTATGAGTATTTGTGAAACAAAAACAAATACTTCATAAATTGTTGCATTTCTTCAGACCAACAATGCAAAATACACACAACTTTTTCGTACTGGCTGGTTAGTGACCATGCTGACTGTGATATGGTGTGATCATTGTGTTAGTTGCATGTCCCATGGTCAATCAGGCAGTCATTGTCATTTGACAGGTGTGGTATGAGATGATCTCAGAACTTAACATGCAATAAAGGTGACCAACTGTCTGCTTAATACACAGTAACAGTCAACATGACAAGGCAACTTGCCTCCCTGAAAATATATAGAATTGCATCCTGGAAAAAGAAAGAAATCAGTCATCACATGAGTACTTAGTGAAAAGCAAGCCTTATTTTTTTTTAAATATATATATAGAGAGAGAGAGTTGTTTATGCCAGGGTAGAATTTGGGTAAGGGAGATAACTCAGTTAACAATGAATCACTTGGGTGTAAATCGGCATCTTGGCCCATGTCCTAAAACTTTGACACCACCACCAAAGAATTCAGACTTCCAGAAACAATAAGTGTCTGGTTAGGCAAGGTCCAACTGTATACAGGGTGTATTCTGGGACACTGTTATGTGTAGTGGTGTTCTCTGGCTGATTTCCCTACAAGTTGTATAGTATGTATGATGAATGATTGTTTGAAACGTTTTCTAAATATGTGATGATGTTAGAGAGGTGAAGCACTGGTTGTTTGGAATCTGTCAAGCCTTTTGCTTTTATTAATACAGAGGAACTGCTTGGTTATGTTGTTGGCTGTACAGGATTGAGGAAAGAGTTTTGTGTTCATAGATAATCAGTCGTCTCTATCAACTGTGATGATGCATGTCTCTCATTCTGCCTCATAATCTGCAGAAAACTACTAGAACACATGAAACATTCTAACTTACTGTGGAGTCCCACGGTCTTATAGCTTGTCGGAAAGTTTGGATGAGCAATGCAGTTAATGCTCACATTGTTACCAATATACTGTACATCCTTGAATATCTGCTAGGTTGTAGCATCTGGGGTTCAGGCTACAAACTTTAGGGACACAATGCTCCCTTTTAAAAATTGACAGTATAGTTTCTAATTTGTTCGAGTCAACAATCAGATGGCAGGGTGTTAGAAAACAGAATGTGAGAAAAAGTGCACAAACAAGGCTTTGATGTAAAATTGCCTTGTAAAAAAACTGCTACCAGTAATTGTCGGTTTTTTAATATGTAAATGCTCGATGTTTATTCAAGGATTTAGGGTATTTGTTAGAAAGAAAATAGTGAAAATAATGCCAGGTAAGAGAGTTTAGGAACAGGTTGCAAGCAAAATATTAAAGTCAAGGATCCTTGTAAAACCCTATATCTTAAAATCCAGGGGTAACTATATATAAACAATCTATAGAAGCTTCAAAGCTCCCATGAAAAATGCACCCCTACCCCATTATCTCAGCTCTTGTGTCTAAATTTCTTCACAACTGATTTTGTTCAGTTGTGTAAGTTTGTTTCAATTTCGACTTTGCAAGTATGTAGGTTCATCAGTTAAAATACAATGAACTGACAAAAAGAACTTCAAGCTTCAGATTGTGGGACTCTGCTTAATGTTGACTGAGGCCATATGTGCTTGGTCATATATTTCTTAACCCACCTCACTGACACTTATAGCAGTCTAAAAACAACACAACGCAGATGATCATCAAAGTTTGTCAACCTGCATTCTTCATCCTCAGAATATTTAACATATCGTATTTTGTGATACAGACTGAATTGTTTTGTGGCTGTGTTGAACACAAACTTATATAAGATAGTGTTCATTTTTGTTGTTGAATGCCTACTGCTTTATTTATTTTGTTTTTTGTTGTGATATACTTGTGGTTTTAGCATTTAGTGCTGTATTTGTCCTGCAAATGAGGTCTTGATTCAATTCCATAGCCATGTATGCAGTTTAAGTTGTTTACTTCTGTTCGTTCACACGTCTCATGCAGTATGAGCTGATATGGGCCCATTTTTCATCAGTAGACTTTTCACATTGTCCACATTTCTAAAACTGATAGGATGGATCTAGCAGACCCAATGTTTCAATGCCTCAATTATGAATAGATTTCCTCTGTATTTTAAGAACCCACTTGACCATCAGTACCATTCATCTGCATAAGTTCCCTGTACTCAGACTAAAGTGTACATTATGCCTTTAGTTAGATGTATGTTTTTTTCAGTAAAGGTGCCTAATATTCTCAGTTTGTTCTTTTGACCCCAAAGCAAGCACCTAACCACCGGAAATAGCGATGACTCATTGGTCAGTATCAGTACCCTCTTTGTCATCTTTCGGAAGCACCCAAGGTGCTTATTACAGCAAATATAGCAGTTACTTTTTCTGAAAATCATCTTTTTTTTTAATTTAATAAATTTTCAGAGAAACCACAAGGCCTTGAGATATGAATTATTGTAAGAATGCTACTTATGAAAAAGGTCTTCAGGTTATAACAAGGCATCATCGTGAGATATTGAAGTTTGGAGGTTTGGACTTTACTCATGTGAGCTACTTAGCCTTTTCTAGCCGTCCCACTTCATTACATGAGTTACATAAGGTTTGTGAAAATAGGCTTAAAGGCAAGCAACACTAAGGTTGTTCTAATACAGTCAAGTTGAATATAACTGGGTCTATCTACAAGAACAGTCGTAGTCATTGCTTGTTGATTTGAACTGGTTAACATTGTTTTCAAGTTTAAAGCTGACATCTTGCAGCAGTTGTCAGGGTCAAACAGATTTTCCTTGATGCCTGTATACAACAATACATACATTTTCAAGACTTACTTCGTTTGAGGATTTTCACAGATTGAGTTTGAAATTCACACTTTGCAGAAGCTTATTTATTCCCAGTGTATTATGAAACTGTTGCGTTAAGGTGTCACAAGTGTTCTCTTGAATGTGTTATACTGTTACAGGAAAACTAAATTTTCAGTCCAGTCAGTTTTGAAGATAAATTTTTTTACTGATGGGTCCAAAAAGTGCTGAAAAATCAAGTTTTTCATGCTCAGTCAAATACACGACAATTTCTTGGGACTGAGAAATCTGTTTCTGTTCTTTTTATTAAAAGTATGCTCCTTGATTTCAGAACTTACACTTTTCATTCAAATCACCAATAAATGCTGTGATGGGATTTATACTAATTGTACCAGTAAACCTTTATAATCTCACATACCTAGACAAACAGTACTTTAATATACGCCATGTGTTCACAAGTGTATGAAAGACATTTTCTTGTTAGTGATTCTGTTTTCAATCTGTAGACTTTGTGTTCAGTGTTATTTTAAACATTTGTTCAGTGTTCCTGTTTTACTGTAATGCTTGTTGCTAATGTATGACATTTACATGTTATCTCAACTAAGATAATCCGTAAGACACTACAACATGCCCAAGTGTTCTGAGGTCTTTGGAAGGTATATTTGTCTTTGAGTAAATTTTGTTTGCCCTTCTCGATGAGCCACAAAACTAACTCAAAAGGAGACATTGCAGTTATTATATCATTTATTCAATAATTTGTTGTTAGTTTACTTATAATGTATTGCTGTATGTATAAAAAAGTTGCTTTTATCTGAAGACAAATTATTTAGAAAGAAAACATGGAATGTTGGTAGAAAGTATCGTTACTCGTCTTATGAATTGAAGTAATTTTGTTGCTACAATGCTCTGTAGGAATTTGATGATACCGGTAGATTGTATTCCGTTACGATTATCCAATAAAAGTCTCATATTGCAGGAATTTTGGTGAAATACTGATGTCCAAACAAGACTAGCTCATCTGCATTTTACTGATAACAGCATTGCTAGCATTAAGTTTCTATTACCTTTTTAACTTTCTGTTTCCAGTATTTCAAATGTAACACAAGGGTTGAAGTAACTCATGTATAATGATGCTGTACATCTCTTAGGTTTACAAAATGATGAAAAACTGACAGAACTTGAAGCCTATAGGTTACAAGGTTCATTCATCATGTAATCTTAAAGACATTATCTATGAATATTTCAGACAATGAAGAAGTATGATGGCAGTGATAGAAATTGTAAACATGTTATAAGCCGGTTATGCATTGTTCTAGATTATAAAATAATAAAAGTACATACCACAGATTTGTAAAATATGTCATTTGTAGCTGGTGTTGACTGTAATGTGTTCACATGGCAAGCTGTTGGTCATTTCTGTACTTGTCACTTTAAAGAGTGCAGCTATTTTCAGCCTTTGATTCATTGTTTCAGACTCCGTTAAAAATACCTTGCAGGTTATGAGAAACTCTTGAAACCTCATCCTAAAAAACTTTGTGAAACTGAAATCTTGAGTAAGTGTTGAATTGCTCAACTGATAGTCCCCAACTTTGTACTTTACACTTCTTTGAAATCTCTGATGTTCCAAGGATATTTCATTGTACTATAATTCCATGGCAAGCATCATCATGATTCAGACTTTCATGACACTGGCTTCGAGTAAAAAAAATGTTTCTCATTAACCGATTCTGTTTTCAGGACCTTTCTCTTATTCAGACGGCTGAAAACATGTTAATTTTGTTGACATGGTAACATAGAACAGGGATGGCAACAGGAAAATCCATTTTGAGCAGAAAACTTAAAATTGTGTCATCGAGTTGAGGGTTTCTCAATGGATTTAGACGATTCACAATTGAACAATTTGAAATAAAATCCGTGGATCAGCGGAAAATTGCCATCCCTGCATAGATGATGCTTTTGGGCCAAATTTTATTCCAAACAAAATCAGTCTTCATCTTTAGGCATAGACCAATAGTCCAAGTCCAATAACATTCTGTTGGGTCAATAATAACACACATCTACAGAATTTTTTGGTCAGAAACAAGATTATACCAAAAGGTATGTATCATCTTCAGAAATAATGAGAAACACTTTTTACCTATTCATGCCCTGAGAAATATTGTGTTGATGTAAAATATTGTCTGTATTTGACAGAAGGGGTAAAGTACATTGACACTACATACAGTAAGCTGTGATATTTTTCTATTAAGTGTTTCTTTCATTCTAGTCTAATTAGTTTCTACTAACTGTTTTTATCAAGTTTAGCTGACAAACACATCAGCAGTCCACATGTGCTTAAGTTCAGTGTATCCACATTTTTTCTGTTTTTTTTGGCTAACACATGTATTTAAATGAGGCCAAGCTTTTATTGGTATGCAATTAATTGATCTGATGGAGAGTATTTAATCCTTGACATTCATATCAGCTTGTCTTGTCTACTAATTTATGTTGACTCGTGTAATGTCATTGCAGTTGAACATTGTATACATATACCATGTGACTTGTACGAAATAAATGATTGATTTTTCAGTTATTGTCTGTAATTAAGAGAAGTGTGTTCAAATTTACTGACGTTTTAATATAATTGATTCTACACAAATACTCAACACTTGTGAAAAGAAATTTTGTAAATTTCAATGTGAACACGGTCAGCGACATAGCTCTAAAATCAAACTACCGTAATATACTGTAAGCCATTAAACACGCAATTTGACATTCATACTTTCTTTACTCACACCAATTTCAACATATATAAACCTAACTGGCAGATATGTTTTAAGTGAACATCTGTGAATAATTTCATCTGAAAATGTCCAGTCAACATCAGTGACGCAACAGCGACATCAAGCAAAGGAGGGGTCACTTGCAGTCAATATCATGTGTGTCCACCGTGCTCTGCAAGACATGCTTGCAGTCTTTGGGGCATTGAAAGACACACATTTCTCAGGAACAGCTGTTGGATGGTCTGCAGCCTCTGATGGTCTGCGGTCTGATCATGACACCATCCCCTCCAAAACGATCATGTTCAAGGACACAGTTTGGCGCAAGTCTTTCTCCTTTACATCGATAAATCTGTGGACGTCCATCTGCAAAGGATAAGTTAAACCTGGATTCATCTGACAAAATGACATCTGGCCATGTCCTGTTGCCAAGATTGGCCCCATTTGCTGCCCATTGCTGTCTGGCAAGTCTGTCCCGATGCAATAAGGTTGGACCACGGTACGGGTGACAACACCGGATGTTGAAGGCAGCAAGGCGTCCTTGCACCTTTTGGGCGCTGAAATGACGTTGACTTGTCCCAATTGTCCTCCTTGCCTCATCATCAGCTGTTTGGAACCGATTTCGCAAGTGTGAAACTCGGATATTGCGGTTTTGTCGAGCTGTTATCACAGGTGGTGCACCAGGTCGCGGACGATCAGCAACACTTCCGGTAGCCCGAAAACATTGTCTGAGTCAACTTACAGTGGATGGATGCACATTAAAGTGCCTGGCAATCATCACATCTGAAGCACCTTGGGTGACCATACCGATAACCTGATTCCTTTCGTCTTGTGTCAAGTGTGGCATTTTCTCAAAGTGATTGAGTTCCACAATTCCTTGTGCTTTTACAGGGCCTGGGTGCAGGTAACACATGTGCACAACGTGTTTCATGAATGTGGTTGTGTTTACAAGAAATGTCAAAGGTTCAGTTTTAAGTATCAAAGTTCATGTGAGGAATGCTCCGGGACTCGAACTCGAAATAGGCCACAATAACAGCCTTTTATTCCCTACATCCTCTGTATCGCAGGCAAATATCTTCAATAGAACTTGTGAGTTTCAGGACAACAAATACCAATTGCGTTTTTAATGGCTTACAGTATATTTTATTTTGCAAGCCACACAAATTTGAGACTACAAAAAAAATTGAGTAGGCAATTATCAAATATGATTACAGGGTTCCATTGCCAGTGTTTTCTGGCTAATCTGATTGCAACCCACTCATTCATGAAAAGGGAGAAGTGCCATTTCCATTTTATGATACACTTATAAGTGTATTCTCTCAACTTTCTTTTCCAAATCAATGAGGATTCTGGGGAAGAACAGGTTGTCAGCTACCCATGCTGTGTAGGAGTGGCAATCAGGGCTTTATTCAACAATCTAAGCTCTGTAATAACATCTTAACACCAAGATATCTTTGTGGAAAGGGGCCATGATGGATTGGGATGTCGGATTACAGATTAGATGTCTACAGCTACACTGGAGATGACGAAACCTTACTGTAACAGTAACATGCAACCTTCTTCAAATAGCTATTTTTAAATCATACACCATAATTAGTTATTGAATGATAAGGCATGATTGGAAATGAGAAACGATTTCAATCTGAGAACTGAAAAAGACTACATTTCAAGGCATTCAAAAACGTGACTAAACCGTTTAGGGTTCAAGATGTTCCACTTGTTTGGATGTGCCTATTACTGCACCATGAAAGCAATATTGATTGTTAAAGCAATTACAAGTCAAATTTGTATGCAGTGAATGAGTAGTATTATGCCATTTTTAGCAATATTCCAGCAATATCACAGAGGGTGGCACCAGATATGTGCCAATTGTGCCCATGTGGGGAATTGAACCCAGGCCTTCGCTGTGATGATTGAACGCTTTAACCACCAGGCTACCCCACAGCCCCCTTATGCATAGGAATAAATGGCATTGTTCAACAGCTGATCAAGAATGTTTGATGCTGTTAATAGCACAAAGCCACAATGATACCATGCTCCAACAGTATACTTGCTTCAAGATCACCAATCCTTGTTTGTTTGAACACAATTCAAAATACTTAAGTATTGTTATGAAACGGTTGGGGTGTGGAGTAACCTTCCACTTCAGACATGGTGTTTTTCACAACCATTCCTATTCTTTATATGTTGATTAAGATACGGGATGAAATCCAAATTGAGAAAATGGTACAGTGCTAATTCCACAACTCCAGGCTTCACATGCACTAACTTTTGTAAATACATGGTCTGAAGATATAAAAAATATAAAGTACAAAATGTTTATAAATATTTATTAACAAATATACATTAAAAAATGTACTAAATACAAGAAAACAACTAAAACATACATGCAGTTTAAAAACATAAGTTATTTTTTCACATTTTTGCTGAATTAAAACTCATTAAAAATGTTTTTCTGATCAATGAATAAAAAATATTAAAAAACTTTTGCTGAATTCAGTTTGTCGTTGATGCACTCCATGTTGAGATTATGAACAATGTCTTGATTCATGAACAGATCTGAGATTCCAGTGCTCAGAAATCCGCATCCAATGTGAACTCGTGGTTAGTTGATCCTCCAGACATGACACCCATTCTTTGATACTCTCCAACTCGCTTTTCGAAAAAGTTTGTTTTTCCTTCCAGGGAAATGTGTTCCATAAAGTCAAAGGGATTTTCTGAGTTGTACACCTGCAAACCAGAACAAAAATTAGTGAGTTTAGTTTTACACAGCTTTTTGCAATATTCCAGCAATATCACGGCAGGGGGACACCAGAAATGACAGATATTAGTACCAATGCATCCATTGTTTCAAGAGCATGGTATCAATTTATTCCAACACATGACATGGCAGTAACAGTTGAAACTTTTCCATAAAACAATTCATGATGCTATCTTTCTATGTATACTGATAAATGTTTCATATAATTAAGTAAATCCGTCATGCCACATTAACTATACTACAATGAAAGAATCTAAGTCATGTTCAACTGTTTTGGAATACACAATATTATGATTGAGGTACAGGAAAGGTTTTATTGAAAATCACAAGCTGTGAGGTCATTTGTTTTTTTATAAATTCGCAATTCCTCACCTTTTCACACTGAAGTTCAACAAGAAGTCTGTCAGCTACGAATTCAATGTATTGCTTCATGAGATCACAGTTCATGCCGATGAGGTTAACAGGCAAAGCCTGTGTGAGGAATTCTTGCTCAATTGAAACTGCGTCCTTGACTATTTCATAGACTCTTTCTTGGGAAGGCTTTTGGTTTAAGTGACGGAACATCAGGCAGGCAAAATCACAGTGGAGACCCTTAAATAATAAAAATACTTTGCATTAGATTTGCTATCGAGAAAAATATTTCTGAAAGAACTGCAATCTTTCCCTCTTTATTTTATAACAAATGGGCTCGTCAATTATATTTCAAACCCAAGTAATTCCTTAAAATGGTTATTGCAAAATGATGAAAATATGAAGCATAACATTACTGAAAGGCTTCTACTGGCCATTCTGTTTTTAAAAATTGTCAAAATTGCCTCCATCCTACTGTGTTACAACAAATTTGGCCATCATGGAGAGCAGCTTACCTCATCACGGCTGATGAGTTCATTGCTGAATGTGAGACCAGGCATGATCCCACGCTTCTTCAGCCAGAAGATAGCAGCAAAAGATCCAGAGAAGAAGATTCCTTCAACTGAAGCAAATGCCACAACTCTCTCACCATACGTTGCCAGTTCATCATTCATGTATCTCAAAGCCCAGTCAGCCTTCTTCTTGACACATGGCATGGTCTCAATGGCATTGAACAGGAAATCTCTGCAAGAACACAATTACATAATCCATTAACTCACAGGGACTCTTCGAAAACTGGGGTTTTAAAAATACTTCAACCCCTACATAATTCAAACAGATAGCCTGTTAGTAATACAGAACAATAAGAAATAATGGTCAAGTCATCTTGTGTACAATCGTTATAGTCTATAATTGCTTTCTTTCATATGTTCTTTTTGTCAATTCTACTTTGGAGTTTGTTGAAAATGACATCACTATTAGAATGCCAACAAGAATGACTGGATTCGTAATAAGTATGTTGGTGACCTCACCTTTCAGCTGCATCTTTGATATAGGTGTCGATGAGTAGACTGTACATTTCACTGTGGATGTTCTCCATGGCGATCTGGAAACCATAGAAACACCTGGCTTCTGTCACCTGGACTTCCTGTGTGAATCGTTCCACCTAAAGAAAAAACAACATTTATAACATGCAGGCTTGTCAACATACTTGTTGAAATTTAGATGCATTCATTCACACTTCAGACCATTTTATTCAGTAGCAAAAATGTTAAACCAGAACAATGCAACATAAGCTCCACTATGTTGTACTAAACCAGGAAATATTTTGTGTGGCTTAACTTCTTTAATAAATTCTTGGAAAACCGATCAATTCTCACGGAATAACTTGAAATACATTTACAACCAAATTAACTAACTGGGAAACAGGTTATTGGACTTTGCAAAATTTGAATGGCGATTTCTGCCAACTTTATAACAGTGACATGTTAACTGGCTTACCAAGTTCTCATTAACAATGCCATCACTTGCAGCGAAGAAAGCTAGAACATGCGAGATGAAATGTCTCTCGTCATCCTTGAGCGTCTCCCAATGGACAAGGTCCTTGGACAAATCAACCTCTTCAGCAGTCCAGAAAGAAGCCTCTGCCTTCTTGTACATCTGCCAAATGTCGTGGTACTTGATGGGGAATATCACAAAGCGGTTGGGATTATCACGGAGGAGGGGTTCATCTTCTTTTTTGAACAAGTTCAACTTTTTCTTGTGTGTTGGTGCTTTTTTGATTGGCTGTAAAAAGAATTTATTCATGAGCAAAAGGCAACTATTTATACATATAACAAACATAACTGAAACTGTTTTGAAAACGATCATATCTATATTTTTCGGATTATAGCCAAAACGGCACCACACCAAAACGGAATCAAATTGGCGAAAACGGAACCATGACTTGGCGAAAACGGAACCATAAAAATTTTAATAGCTCTTAATTAAATGTATAAATAAAACTTTACGTTGCCTATGTATAATATTGGCAACGTTGTATAATAACTAAGTGCTCAACGATAATGATTTAAAATGGATACTAGCTGTTGACATGGTTGACTCTTCCATTCACATCTATCGGCTGACACAATAAACTTGTCTCTTCTCAAAACATTAAGAACTTGTTGTTTTTAATGCAGTTATTAGTTTATTCTTGGTACTTAATGCACAGGCTACAAGTATAAACATGTTACTTATCAAAACATTTTATAAACACTAGTTAATGAACACGCCTCGTGCATATTATTCGAAAGAAAACAGCGGCGTCTTTGATGGGTTGACAAGCTTCATTAAAATAACAACTCATGACTGCTCTGTTTGCGATAAAATGATCGTGTTAAATAAAAAATAAAAAACTAGTGTTTTGGTGTCCATATTTTCTTAATAATGTGGTTCCGTTTTCGCCAGAGAAAATTGGTTCCGTTTTCGCCAATTGGTTTTTGGTACCATTTTGACGCGGTGCTGTTTTAGCCTGCACCCTATTTTTCAACTTTCAAGTTTCCCATTCAAATTTTAGGATGCATGATCATTTCTTACCTCAGTGGTTCCATTTGTTTGCATAATATTCTGAAAAAAAAAAGGACAAAATTATTAGTTGCTACTCCTTTAAATCTAAGGCAATACATGTAATACTGGTGGATCAGATTTCTAGAACCTAATGTTCAGTCCAGAGGTACAGATAAGCTGCGTATCTGCGTAAATTACGCAAATATTTATGTGAAAACTCAATTCCTATTAAGTCTATTGCGTACAAGTACGCTAAATTTTTGTAAATACTCGATAAATGTGATTTTACATGCGTACACACGAAAATGTCAAATCTTAGCTTGCGTACCGGTCGATAGATAAAATAACTGAGGTATATTGAGAGGTTCTATTTCAGGACATGAACTTGACAACTTGCAGTCTTTCTTATCGTTTCTCATATTACAGATCAAATATAAATAACAAACATTAACATTAAAACTTTTTCATATTTTTAAAATTAATGGAAAACGACAAAATACCCAATTGAGTTTGTGAGTACAGTTTATTTGTTTACTCAAAGGAAAATTAGGATACCCAATTGAGATGAACACAAGCGAGTACACAACTCAATGACCCAAAAAGTTGTCTGTAGCTCTGCTTCAGTCACTATACAATTTGAAAGTTTCTATCAAACCATGGATTCAGTTTCATCGACTTGTCTCTACCTTATACATAAAAGTGGGCACTAAAGTTTGACATACTCATGAAAAAGAATTAGGGAACACCTGAAAAAGAAAAAAGAATTAGGGAACACCTGAAAAAGTACAAGTCTTTTCCAGAATTTAACCCACAATGCAATACAAAGCTTGTGAAGAAACCTGGAAAAGAATAAAAGAACACTTGTACATTTGCAGGTGTTCCCTTATTCATTTCCATGAGTATATGAAAGGCCACAGGATCTTTATCAGAAAACTTTCAAAGTACATTATAAGACCTTCCAATTATAACAATGGTTATGCATGATTCAAAACTGTACCTGAAACAAAGCCATGTCTTGAAAGTACAGAATGACTCATTTTAACTGCAGGTAAATGGACTAAAGAAATTCATTTATATATTATATATAACTACTGCAGTACAGATTGGAAAGCCTAAATATAGATCTGGTTTCGATAAATATTATTCACAGTTGCACAAGTGACCAAAAAATATGAAAATACAAACCTGTTTCTGACTCACTCCCAAGACCTTTGGTTTCTTTAATGATACAGAATCTTTTGTAGGAACCTAAAATGCATAAAATTATTAGGTTAGGTTGGGTCACTGCACACAAGACTGCCGACGGTCACTCCCGCCAAAAAAGTCTTTGTTCATATTGTCTTAACAAACATTGTGAAATTATGAAAATATATCTGTTCTCAACGAAAACGTTCATTGGCGCCTGAAAGGCGTGATTACTCAGTTATGAAAGGTTATCTAACATGATTCTCAAATATTTTCTTGCATCAGAAGCAGACGTCTTTTCAAAATCAAACACGAAATAAAATTGGGAAACACATTTTTTTCGTGGAAAGAACAAGTTATTTCATTTGGATTAGATCATCTGAATGCATTCATATAAAACTTGCTTCCAGATCATAACTTAGAAATATTTCGATTTGCACAAAAATTGTGACTGACGCCCATCTTCGCGCCAAATGTCAAATCAACTTCTAGTGGTAAACATACCTCATTTTCGTCGTGAATCTTCGTTCTGCCGAGCTGCGATGAAATATCAGCGTCCTTGATGACGATGTTGGTTTTCGGAAGGTGTGCAGACAACATTCTAAAAGTTTCAAGTAAAACGTTACAAAACCAAACTAAAATACTTTCTCACTAAAGATACAAACACACTCTCTATACAAGGATTTCTGGAGGCAATGACAAGAAATCCGGGAAATGTGTTCATAAACTCGCGCGCCGGTGTGTTATAGCCAATAGAATGTGATTTTACAATATGCTGACCATCTGCCTTGCTTCGAATTCAATGATTGGACGTGCGTGGTATGATCCATAGGGGTGTCAGAATCTACTAGTCCCGTGAATCGTCAATTCATCAAATTGTCGCTGGTATTCGATATTATATTATACAATTTATGTATAGACATTTATTTATAGACATGATATTTACATTTGTAAGAGCTAAAATCATTCGAATCTGTGCTGCTGATATTATGCCTTATAATATATCCACCCCTATCGAATGGAAGAGTGTATTTTGGTCCACAGCAACGAAGTAGTACCCTGCTTCAATTAATACGCGAGATCAAAGGTTGCATAAAACCTAAAGTGTCTTAAATGTATACAATTTGTAAATATTTCATGATATTATTATGTGTCACTTCGTGAACAATATGTTTCAGCTAACTAGGAGATGGCTGAAAACGAACATGCTATAATATATATAGAACTATTTAACCAGGAGGAACTTCCGGGAGGAAGTGTTTCATGGCAGAATGTTTAGATATGGCTGACAGCATCAAAGTGATAGACGAAGATTATGTTAGGAGGATTCATAGTAGAAATCCTTCAGGGCATATCCACAAAGGTAAATGACTTTTTTTGGTATTGCTGGCATTGATTTAATGCATTACATGTACATTATCCTCCTTATTCCCTGGAATCAACCCAGAGTCACTTGTTTTGTATCAGTCACATCTCAGTCATGTTGACATCCTAAAAATCTTTGCCTTTACAGTATGCAAAGTACAGTATGTACTGTAAAATATTAAAAACATTTTATTCTATGAAGAGAAGTGTTAGGACACCAATTTTATGACATGGTCATTAGCACTGTTTCTCAGCACTGGCTCACATTACATGCTGCAATTACAGATAACATCCCTATCTGTATGGTTGAGAATCGGCTTACACTATTAGCAGTATACCATCAATATCAAGGCAGATGACTCTTGAGATGGACTTCACATATTGTTTCAAAAAGTGTAATTAGCGTTCAAACAAACACTTGAACTGCTAAACAAGGCCACTGCCTCTATGTTCCTGACAATTTTACCGTCATTGACAAAAATCACAGGCTTTGAGTTTTTATGCACAACAAGATGATAACAGAACAGTTATATATATTAGCTGTATCTTGTTAAGGCTCCTTCAAACAATTCAAATATGATTCAGAAGATGTACAGGCATCTGCATGTGTGATGTGATTAGGACTTCCAAATGAGATACGACAGCATTTAAGTGTGATAGTTAAGAATTAAACTTCCCAATTATTCATGGATTCCAGGATGAACAGTCATTGAATTCATTTAAAAAAGATATAATTGCTTTGTTAAAAATGTATTGTTATAATATTTGCATGATTGTTATAATATTTGCATGCGATTACACGTGAATATTAATTTTCCTGTTGAAAAATAAGTTCTGATTTGTTACATAAATGATATTCTTTTTCTAGGTCATGGCATCGTTGCAGCAAATGCCTCAATCCCAACAAAATTCCAGACAATCGTCACAGACAACTCAGACAAGAAGGGGTTCCTCTGCAGGGCCAAGAGATTCCAGTCAGATTCCAATATTGTGAGTTCAATTAGCATGATATTTAACTGTTACAGCCTTAGGCATAGATTTTGTTATCTATCTTTGTGTGTATATGTTCAAGAAAAGAATTCCTTGAGTTGGTGCATTGTAATATTTGTACTGGCTAAAATCATTACATTTACTTCTTATTTGGAAGCAGTCAATAATTGTATGTGCATTTTTAGAGCATCTATATTTGAGTTTTCAACTTCATTTAATGATTTATTTTTAACCAAGTTTACATCTAACTGTTACCAATTAAAGAAAATTATGTAACCTTTTTTCATAATAGTAAACACAGTATGGTTATCATAACGATAAAATCAGCAAAAATTTGTTGTATTTGAACAAACTTTATTGGAGATCAGGGACTAAATTCTAGTAACCAAGTGTTGTTTAATGTGTCCGTGTAAACCTGTAGGTTGGTTTTGGTTGGTTTGTTGTTTATCGCAGCACTCAGCAATATTCCAGCTATTTGATGGTGGTCTGTAAATAACTGAGTCTGGACCAGACAATCTAGTGATCAACATCATGACTCATTGAGCATCGTACTACGCAATTGGGATACAATGCCATGTGTCGACCAAGTCAGCAAGCCTGACCACCCTATCCCGTTAGTCACCTCTAACAACATCATGGGTTACTGAAGACCGATTCTAACCCGGATCTTCAGGGGTAGTAAACATGTAGAACTTGCATCAAATATGTATTAATTAAAATAACAAACATGTAATGTAATTACTTTAAGTGGAAGCATTTAAATGATATTTTCTATAAAACCAAACAAAAACAATACATCACAAACAATGCGGCTTTTAGCCTATGACTGTTACGCCACTGCAAGGCTTGGATATATTCCATCTTGTGTATCTCACTTAGATAAACAACAACTAGTTCAAAGTGAAAACACTCTTAAACATATTTGCAAATATTTGATTCTAGCAACCATATCCCTTCATGAATTTAATTCATTATTAAATTCATGAAAGGATACAGTTAATTTTACAGAATACACAAGTGAATCATATCTAGTGTTATGGTCCAGGGAGCCGTTGTACAAAGCAACCTTAGAGCTAAGGTGACCGTAACTCCCATACCTTAACATAGACTTAACATACTCTTAGCACTAAGGCTGTTTTGTACAACGGGCCCCAGTCATCTATTAAGCTGTATGCCAGAAACCTGTAGTCATGGGTTTGCATTCAGTATTGCCCTAGTTGTTTCCAGGTTGTCAGCACTGTTGTCAGCCCATACCCATAGGATTATCACGTGTGATATGCATCACTTCAGCCAGTGTATGAAATAAGGCCCGTCCGACCGCCCGAGACAGGCTAGATTTCTGACGGGCGGTCTAAATTTACAGCTAGTCAGCCTGATGGTCCGTTAAATTTTTTTTAGATGTCCCATACATCTGAGTAAATTCACCATATCTTGGTGTCTGGTCTGGTTGAATCCATTTTGGGCTGGTAACATTTTGAAGTTACCAGCCCTGATGTCTGGCTTGGTATTGGGCTTATTTCATACACTGCTTCAGGCTTTCCCCCCACATCAAACTGACACTCCATGACATGACATTACTGAAAGATTTTATTTTTCAAAGGATCCTTGAACCATATTCAAGCATGTTGTTGTACATCTCTTCTCATAGATTTAGGTGTTTATTCCAGACTGAAGCCCCTGGTCCAGGAAGTTATGTTCGACACAATAAAGTTGATAATTTGAGTACATCCTTCTCTAAGAAAGGAACAGGAGGATTTGCTTCAAAGGTAGGCAGTTGTGTAATATCTGGGTGCGCCGATATTGCTGAAATAATAAAGACTTGTTTGGTCTCTTTCAGTACCCATGGAATGGTATGTGTCACATGAGGTTAATTTCATGTAATGCAATGCCTTACTTTGTTAATAGTTTTACTGTCTCATATTCAGTTTAATGTAGAAATTTATCTTTGCCAAATAATGAGAAACTGAACTTCCAAGAATATGATTTCAAAAATCATATAAAACTTTTCATGTTAAGCGGCCTTCACACGACAAACTGAAGTTTGACAACACATGTTGTTAAAATTTTAAAAGTTGTCAAACTCGCATTTTCATTATCGTCAAACGCATTTTCACCGTCAAACACATGTTGTCACACGTCAAAACACGAGTTTGACAACAAACTCGAGTTTGACAACACCGAAAGTTTGACGCAAAAGTTGGTGAGAATAGAGACCAATCCTATTTCTCGACAACAGTTTGACAACTCTGAAATTGGTGTTGGTGGCGAGTTGTTGGAATGTTCACACTCTCAAACTAGTACAAATCAAAACTCAACATAAAAATTCCACATAATACAATTTTAGTGAAATAGTCACTGAATTTCATTATGTTCATAGGTAACAAACTTAAAATATATATTTTACACTTCAGTGTTATCACATTTATGCCGACTTGTAAACAGGACCAATATCTTTGTTTGAAACATAATTTAGTGATTGGGTGAGGAAAGTATTCTGAACTTATTATGATTTAACATAGTGATTGAGTGAGGAAAGCATTGTGAACTTATGATGATACTTTTGCATTTAATATTCATGTCTTAATATTTTTTTAGAATAATGGTTAATTATCATGATGATGCTCTTATTTTTTGTTCATTGGAACAATGGAAAAGCGTTATTATGTTTCTACGTGAATGTTTTCAGTCTAAGCGAGGCTTGAAGTACCACCTATCCAGCGCACCAGGGCCGGGGCTATATGCTTTACAGAGTACACTAGTCACCAAGAAAGACTTCAACAAAGCTCCCACGTCAAGTGTTTTCCATAAACCCATAGCTCAGAAGATCAGCAAGCTGAATGGAATTCCTGCTCCAAACTCTTATAATGTATGTACGCAGGGTTGTATTTCATTTGAAATGAGAATGATGATATCTGCTTCATAAGCTGAAGCCCATTTCAGGTGCCCATTTCTGATGATGCTTGCTCCTTCTTCTGATGCCTATTTCATGTGTCTATTTCACATGCCTATTCCTAATGCCAGATGTGTCTCAGTTTTGTTTTGTATCAGACAATTTAGACAGGGAGGCTGGTAGTCTTTTGGTTAATCAGTTGGCATGCTATGCTGGAAACCTTGATTAGATTTCCCACCTTGGTACAATGCATTAAGCCGTTTTTGATATTCCCTGGCAAGTTAGTTGTTTGAATATTGCTGAAAGTGGTATAAAGCCATGCTCTGTGAGCTATGTGTTTTCCTCATGTTATTGTAAATATTTCCCTTGTGTTATGTGAAAGTGTGTGTGTGTATGTTGTATATACATATAATATCATTATTAAACCTGTAATGATGATGATATTCAGCAGGTACAGTGTACTTATAATTACTGATTGTTCCATACAGACAAACCCATGATCTCTACTGATTTCTAGTTTTGCCTCTAAACTGTTGTTGCAGGTGTTGAAATACAATCCTGGCAAGGTGAACAATGTTAGTGCCGACTCAGCATTCAAGTCTCAGTCCAAGAGAGATATCTTGAACACGAAGGAAGCAGCAGCACTGCCTGCACCATGTGAGTTATCTAACATTGAATTGGCTTAGTCCAGTGTCTCTCATTTGGTTACTTTATAAAGGAAGGTAACTGTGGAGTATTATTCATGAAAAGTGTATAATAAGACCGGTTTTAAAAAGGTTTTTATTTAAAATGCCAGCACTTTGAAAACCTTTTGTGTTGAGAAGGAAGGTGAGGCATCTCTTTCTCTATCTGGGTTGTGAGGGTCCTGAGTAGGACCTGGATCAGGAGGGTCATGAGTAGGACCTAGGTTGGGAGGGTCATGAGTAGCACCTGGATCAGGAAGGTCATGAGTAGGACCTAGGTTGGGAGGGTCATGAGTAGCACCTGGATCAGGAGGGTCATGCACCTGGGTCGGGAGTGTCAGGAGTAGGACCTGGATCAGGAGGTTATGAGCAGGACCTAGGTCGGGAGGGTCATGAGTAGGACCTGGATCATGAGGTCATGAGCAGGACCCTAGGATGGGAGGGTCATGAGGGTCATGAGTAGCACCTGGATCAGGAGGGTCATGAGTAGTAGGACCTGGATCAGGAGGGTGAGTAGGACCTGGGTCGGGAGGGCATGAGTAGACCTGGATCGGGAGGGTCATGGTCTGGATGGGAGGGTCATGAGTAGCACCTGGATCAGGAGGGTCATGAGTAGGACCTGGAGTGGGAGGGTCATGAGTAGGGTAGCACCTGGGGGAGGGTCATGAGTAGCACCTGGGTCGGGAGGGTCATGAGTAGGACCTGGGTCGGGAGGGTCATGAGTAGCACCTGGGTCGGGAGGGTCATGAGTAGCACCTGGATCAGGAGGTGATGAGCAGGACATGGGTAACACTGTCTGGACCTGCAGACAGTTATATGGCGGCGGTCTGTAAATGATTGAGTCTGACCACCCGATCCTGTTAGTTGCCTCTTACGACAAGGATGGGTTGCTGAAGACCAATTCTAACCTGGATCTTCATGGGTTATTGTTTAATGAAAGTAATGACAGCAATGACCGCGGTCATAATCAAGTCTGAACCAGGCAATCCAGGCCCAATTTGATGATAGTGACAATAAAACCTGATGAATACACTACAGGATGCTGATGTTTGCAGTTTTACTGACTTTCATGCATACTTTCCATCTGACTTGTATTTGTTTGAGTAAAGATTAAGTTCCAGTCAGCTTCAGTGTATGCTAGACCAAATCTTTTTATGTTCAGCTAAATAGTTTTTACCAGTGCCCAATTTCACAAAGCAATCTTAGCGTTACGACTGTCGTAAGGTAAGGTATAGGAGTTACGATCATCTTAACACTAAGATGGCTTTGTGGAACAGGGTCTATGGCTTTGGTAAAAGAATCCCCAGTATTTGTACAAAACTCTTGACACCTACATCAGGTACCTGGTCAGGGTCAGCTATTTTGGGGTCAGGTAAATAATACTAATCACGGCCCTACCCTGGACAATCTTTGTAGCAGGTGCCAATGAGGTGAGGCGGTGGTTGTTCATCCATGGTATATATCTGAAAGGTCTTTGTGTTTGGAAACTCAAAGACGTTATAGTACATTACACAAGACTCAAGTTAATATAGAAATGTGATCACACATGGAATGTCAGTAATGTTGAATGTATATATTCAGGTATACTTTTGTTGTGATTGATATTTGGTCTGAACCTGTTGATCTTCCACTCAGGGCAGTACCAAGTGAAAGATGACCTGCTCCATGGATCTCCGAAGGCCCCGGTGTCCAGTTTCCGCTCCAGGACGATGAGACAAATGCAAGCAGATCCTCCCGCTGTAAGCTGATGTTTATTGAAGCCAAATCATATAGTTTTGCTGATAATACTGAAAAATGAGAGGGGAGCATATCAAAACAATCAGATTTAATTTTGTTTGCTTTAGCAAATTTATTCTCTGTGTTTCAGTGTTTATGTACTTAAAATGGAAAAATGACCAGGAGTTCTTGAATAGTAACATTTGTGAGATACTAAGAGTAGCATGGTTATTGTACAAAAACTGATCTCTGTACATCATTTGCTTTTGCAGTGTGTTCAGCTATAAAGTACATTTTGTATATGTGCTAAAGAATTATTGTCTCATTATGTATTTTCATGTTTGTTTTTCTTGCTTTGAATATTCGAATAGTATTTACAGCATCTGTTGTAAATACTGTCCTAAGTATCTGTTTCCTTAATTGTTGGCTGTTCATACATTGTCCTTTGGAAAGATTATTGAGTTGTCTATTGACAGGTTCCTGGACCAGGTGCATATTTTTCATCAGGAGACCGAGAACAGATCAACAAACAACTTTTTCCGTAAGTTATGTGAGGTTACAAGTGGAAAGGAAAAATATTTGGATTATCTCCCCTTGACCACATGTGACATGATGTAGTTAACAAGGACCTGGTGTTTGTGTCCCAGTCTTCACAGTATTGTTATACTTCGATGGTGTTTCAAATATATTTGGTGAGACTTTGGTTAATTAAAGCAGTGTTTAATCAAAATTTGACACAAGTTTCATTTCATACTTGAGAAATATCCACCTAGACTTTTATGTGAAATTAATCATAATTTTTCATGTGATATTTGCAGGAAGAAGCATTATTTGTGTATCTCAGCCCCAGCAATGCCCCTACCCCCTGCCCCGCCCTCCCCTGGACCAGGCAGCTATGAGATGGTGGACTACGAGGGACCCCCTAAACACTACATGTCCACTTCAGCATTTGTCTCCGCATCCAATCGGTGGGCAGGAGACGCCAACATGTTAACAGTGGACTTGCCAGGACCAGGTAATGTAGTCTTATTGTTCTTCCTTTGGTTTCTTATACTTACTGACGGTGGGGTAGCCAAGTGGTTAAAGTGTTTGCTCGTTACACTAAGGTCCAGGTTCGATTCCCCACACAGGTACAATGTGTGAAACCCATTTCTGGTGTCCCCGTTGTGATATTGCTGGAATATTGCTAAAAGCGGCGTAAAACCATATTCACTCACTCACTATTGCACTTATTGTAGTCACTGATGACTGTGTAAGCCTTCAATTTGGGAAATATATAAAATGTTTCATCACCCCATCATTAGATTTCCAATTGTTGAAACTTTATAAATTAATGTCATCCATAGAATTGTTAATCTCACCTAATTGTGTTTCATAAGACAACGAAAACGTTATTTTTTCATCAAACTGATTTGCTATTTTACATCATTTCCTTTGTTGTGTAGGTGAAATTGACAGTAGTAAAGTGAAGAGGCTCTCGATTTTCAAAATAATTTTACTGGGACAGATAGTCATTTTCTTGAAGAGCTTGAAATTTATTAGCCAAAACATTTGTAGTCATGTGATTGGTTGGGTTTTTTTAAAAACAAGTTCAAATGCAAATAGTTTCAATTCTAAGGGAGACAACTCTTCAAGTATTCTTATTTTCATTTGGAATCATTTAAAAATTTCAGCTTCCAATAGCATTTTGCATCTTCTCTTCTTGAGTATTTTCTTTTGTTTTGCAGCTCACTATCGGCCCCTGACAGTCGGAAAACAGTCATTTATTTATAATTCAGCTGGGAAATGGATATAGGGTATCTGCATTTAATAGGTTGAAACTTACTTGTCTTCATGTTTGTTCATCCTCACATCCGTCCAGTATTAAAATCATTGTGTTTTTAAGATGAACCAACAGGCTTTACTGGAGGAATGCCACTCTAATGGACATTGATTTTATAAAGAACTATCTTCCACAAATTCATTAATATTCACAGGCAACTATGACAAATTTTTTTGTCTGGACAATAACTTTTAAATTAATATTATTTTTGGTCTCTGATCTTTTATATCATGTATATTTAATAATGCCCCAATTGCACTTTGTTTTCGATATGAAGTTCAATGTTATTTTGAGAGTAAAACTCAGTTATTTTTCTAAATTTCATCAGAGTGTTATTGGTAGTATTTTCAAGAATTTGTCAAACAAAAGGAATATATGGCATTTTGTTGAAGCAACGTTTATATATAATCTCCTTCCAAGATTACTTTCCAAAGATGTTTGGGTCTGTGTTAAGACTGATGAAGCCAGCATTGTTTTGAGTTGATTTTATTGACAGATTATTCAAGTATTTTTGTAGCAATAAACCTTTTTATGTGGATGTACATTATGGTGAATGTTTCACAGAATTGTGATATATACATGTTTATATATTTATCATGTTCTAACCATTCTAGGCTATCTGTGATACTGTTATAGCTGTGTTGGTCTGTTTATTTCTCATTACATTTCATCCATAAAATTTCAGTCCCGTTGCCTTACTGTTAATGCCTTACATTTACCAGTACATATTGCAGCATGTTAAGTGAGTAGCCATTTAATACAACTGTAACACTGCGGGCTCTTTCAGTGTGACAATGCATTCTACAATGTTTGTTTTTTTGTATTTATTGTACCTATGAAAGCATTCGAAACTATGACCTGAACTTAGTGCGTTAGCGATCATGAATATTTTGGGAGAAATTTTATGAATGTGATCAGTCTGATTTTACCAGAAAATACCTGAAAATATTCATGATCACTAACTTTTTTTTGTTCAGTGTATATGTTGAAAGTATAATTGACTTACTTCCAGTTTTTACTTGAATCTGAAGATGATATCATAGAATTTGTTTTCTGGAAAATTCATCAGATTATCCTGAAATTCAATAAATTCAGTTTCTTGAAAATCACAATTCTGGACCTGCAGATTTGAACCATGTATACCTATTAAACTGTCTGGTACCACTCGCAATGAGTGTTCACTTGAATATGACATTTAAATCACATGTTATAATGCATGGACTTCACTCCAATGATATAAACTCTGAGAATTCAGATAGCGTGGAACTGAAATGAAGTTTTTTACAGTTACAAAATATTGTCGTGAGAATGTCAGTTGTTGACTTCCCAATGCCATCCCATATGTTTTTTCCATATTGGAACTGTGAGAGTTTTGTGTTGTTTATGAAGACAATAAATTCTGATTAATATGAATTTCTGAATGTGTTTTTATTTACCTATAGAAATATATTAGTGTATATAGATACTTTTGCATGATATACAACTTGAAGTAGAACAGCCATAATTGGAAGGTTGTGTGTTGCAATAGCTTGAGAGATTTCAAAAAAAGTGTGTGGCATAACCTCCTTTGGAGTAGTATATAGTACTGTCGGAAATAGAAAAAAATTGTATTTTCTCATTTATCTCTACAATGTATGTAGTTGATATGTGAAAGTGTGAAATATCTGTTAAACTAAGTTCGGAACCTAACTACAGTCTCAGTGGTAGAGATATAGGAAACGGTGAAAAAGGTCTTGACTGAGGGGAAATTAGTGCAGAAATGAGCAATGCGGGTTTTTTCTAAGTCCAAAAAGACTTATTTGGAACAGACCATGGCTTTATGCAAATTAGTGTGCGACGATATTGTATTACAAAGGACACTTTTTAAATGCCCAATTTGAAATTAGACGTAGATTCATTATAAACGATAGCTGATGTAAAAAATAATAACTTGTATGCCGAAACTATTAAGGATGTAGCTACCATGCAGTCTCACTGTCACTATAAAAAGAAACAGATAGGAGGGGGTCGCCTCAAAAGCAAAACCTGGGGTCGGGCTTGGGGATAGAGATATCAGCTAAGATAAGATAATCCTTTAGGGCAATTATACTGGGGAGGTACACGGCACGTCACAACAATTTACAAATTATATCCAGTCCTGTCGATCTTCGGGTGGTCATGCCACCTATATACTACGATGCGTTTCTATGGTTTTGGGGTATCATACTCTCTTACATATCTCAACATAAACTTTATGAAGAAAGACACGTAAGATGTTAATCAGTAGATGAGACATAGTCAACACACATGAAAAAGCACAAAATATCTTTGAGATGACCCCTTGTGCCTGTAGGCAGCACGTGCATTTCATGCCAGGTGAGTCGACGGTCCGTCGTAATACCTGGCTGAGCGACCTAATTGCCATCTATAGTCTGATCTATTGTTTTCAGCAGCTATTCGTATTTTTTCTAAGTTTTGTCCGATTTTACGAGTAAACATGCTTTTCTGGATATCGTATTACGCATCCCCCCGAAGTGGGTTATTTCGACATATGCTATTTGCAATTGTGTCAATTTTAGGGATACAGAGTAACAGCCTAAAAATAGTTTTTTTCTATTTCCGACAGTACTTTTCTTATAGTACGTTTATAACATCTAGTCAGTAGTAACTGTACTGATCCAGTTTTTCTTTAGAACAAATGGAGAGTGAATGTCGTGCCTACATTGCTACATTTTGTCAGGCGAATGACCTAACTTCCCAATGCTATTACATTACGACTTACAAACTGAACAGACGAAGATGTGGAGTTATACCTGTTATCATCTTTATTTTTTATTACTTAATTTGGTTGAGAGAAGGCTTTCTTTGTTTATTTAAAGGACAACAACGTTTAGTAATAATCAATACAATATGTAAACATTTGTTTCGTAATTTCTTGGTGTGTCGGAAGTGCAGAGTGATTGAATTAACCATGACACTAGACTTCTTTAGAAAAAACTAAGGTGTCTGTTGATCAAATCCTTAAAACCATATCCATTGCATAATCTTCCGGACTCAATACGAACGTCATAAACAAGACAAGATGTCAGCTCCATATTGTAAGGCAGACGACATGTTGTTACGGTGGGCAGACAATAGGCCCACTGGGATAAAAAGCCCTCGGACAAAAAATCCCTAGGCTAAATGCCCCCTGGACAAAAAGCCCTTGCAAATTTCAACCCATAGGATAAAACACCCTCGGTGTATATTTTGTTACGTGTCACATGTGCTTGGCGTGGTGGTGTTAATTGGCTGTTAAGTCGTCTCGAAAGATAACACCTTGGTTTTAATGCGTTCAGTCCTTTGTTACATATTTTTACTATATAATATTTTAGCTAATGTTCAAGACGTCAGCATTATTTATTGCTTGTTACGTATTCTATTACGTTTCAGTTTTCTCTTTGATCTATTTCCACGTGCTTAGTATTCGATTAGAGACTTGGTGTCAAGCTGGGGTAGAATTTATGTTGTTTTTTGTTGTTGTGTTGACCCTTTATTGAAATAAGTTGATTAGGAATAGACGTTAGAGGCAAGGGAAGACAGCGGATTTGGTAGCTATCGACATCCTACTCCGGATAGCAGGTTCTGCCGTGTTCACGGGAGCAGACGACCGTCTGTCCATTTCACGTTTTATAATCATTTTTAGACCACAATCATGGAATACGGTGCCAAACAAGAAACCAGACGCGTAGTCTGTCTCACAGTCCCTGAACCACATTATTTTCCCTACTGCCAAGCCCTCTCTGCAGTGCTAAAGCCCTAAATATAGCAAGTCTAGATTTCCTCAGGTTCTGAATCTCTGGTCTCCCTGGGGCTCCTTTTCAATTTAAATGCGCTAGTTTGTTACTATCAAAATTATATATATTCAGAGACTAAGCATTAGTCTACCAGACGCGTAGCAAGCCATTTTGTTCGTGTAAGCCCAATAGGTTACAAAGCTTTATATTTAGATAGTATTGAGTGCTTGCCCAACTTTCATGCTGATCTTCAGCAAAAATCATGTGTAAGCCCGGGCTTTTTAAAACAATGGTAGCTACCTGGAAACCGAAAGGATACATTTGTGAGGTTCAGTGTCTGAACCAATTCGGGGAGTAGGATACGGGATCCATCAGTGATGATGTTAATTAACATGAACATTATTCTCCACTCATTATTGCAAGGTGTAATCATCTGACCTTGCCAACATAGCTCGGTTCGGGGTAGAGGGTACAAACCCATCCCCTGTTGGCATCCGACAAACAAGTTCAAGAACTCTTTGAGTCATTTGAGTGTCGACATACCCATGAAGATCCGGGTTAGAATTGGTCTTCAGCAACATATACTTGTCATAAGAGGTGATTAACGGGACCGGGTGGTCAGGCTCGCTGACTTTGTTGACACATGTCATCGTATACCAATTGAGTAGATCACAGGATTTTCTTGTCCAGACTCGATTATTTACAGACCGGTGCCACACAGCTGGAAGTTTGCTGAGTGCTGAGTTTAGAATTAGAGTCGGTACTCAAAGCCAGTTCCTCACCAATTCTGTTTTCCAGCTGAAACCAACGCACCTTACCATCAAGGAAAGTTACTGTTGGGAACAGTATACAACCTGCACTAGTGCAAGCTGAAACTGCAGAGTGCAACATATTTATACCAATTTGTACCCAGTGCAGGTAAATATTTAGCTGTTTAAACAACACAGATTTCAGCTGGAAAACAGAATTGGTATTATTATCTGATCACATGGAATGTTGTTCATGTCTTTGACCTATGTAGCTGGAGTGCGGCGTTAAACAATAAACAAACAAGATGGATGTACTAGCTGGGAGATTAACAAAAAAACACTTCAAGACCCTGCGAGCCCAAAGGATTAGAGTTGAATGTTTTATTAATTTGGCATGAAAAGCGAGTGAGTGAGTTTAGGGACTGTTCATAATTTATGGTTAGTGGGGGTGATGATTTTAATTTAAGGGGTGGGGGTTTGTCACCATTTTATTCTGGGGAGTTGGGGGCAGCAATTTTGTACACACGTACTAGGGGCGGGGTCAGCAATTTTGTACATAAACTTATGTTTAAAATTATGCTTAGAAATTATGGAAAGGGGAGGGGGGTCATTGATTTTGTACATGACATGCAAGGGGGTCCACCACCACCCCTAGCCATAAATTATGAACGGTGCCTTAGTTTTACTGTAGTCAGGCAGATTACGCAGAGTTACCTCCCTTCCCTTGTAGGGAATCTATATTCTAACTATATGGCGGTGGTCTGTAAATAATCGAGTCGGGACCAGACAATCCAGTGATCAACAACGTGAGCATCGATCTGCGCAATTGGGAACCGATGACATGTTTCAACCAAGGCAGCGAGCCTGACCACCCGATCCCGCTAGTCGCCTCTTACGACAAGCATGGGTTACTGAAGGCCAATATTCTAACCCGGACCTTCACGGGTCTGCACGAAAAGTACATTGAATATTGGCTTCTGCGCACCAAATAAATATTTCATGGCATATCGTACTGCATGCACGGTGGCATCTGAAATACTTACAATAGGGCTCGTCAGCTGGCGAACTGGGGTTGGCACCCTAGAATTGCTAGAAGTGTTGCGACCAGAACTGGGATACGACCAGAACTGGGATAACTAATATGGAGAATTATACGTCTTACTCTCAACTATGTATTTAATCGACAAACAATTATTAAGATCAAAATCAGCTGCACAACTCGTGTCCTTTATTTTAAATACTGATCGCAAAAAATGCCAATGGCAGCGCTCCATAGTCGATGTCCGCCATAATAGCTAAATATAGCAGCGCAGAAAATGTAGAAACGTGAAACTGAAACGAAATAGAATTCATTTTCACACGCTTTACTGTAATTACTCTACTAGCTTAAAAATAAGTGAGCGACGATATAAACGATTGAATAACTGACGAGTACAAAAATAATTAGAAACTCTTAAGGTGCGTCCAGCCTATATTGGAAAATTAAATGTTAGCTACATATTTGCAGAGGAATATGGAAATATGTAACTGATAATTTTTAGTGTCTCCTCACAAAAACATTAACTAAATCATATTCCGCGCACAGATCGCCTTAAGTTTTAGAGTTAACCGGGAGCAGTACTGCAGTAAATAGGGTTTTACGAAATTGTGGACTGTTTATCCCAGGCTCTTTACACAGTTACCTGTTGCTGTGAGTTAGGAACTATACTTGGCCTCTGCAGGTTTAATAGTCTTGGTGGACGGTTTACGCCTCTTGAAAAAAGACATTGAGGCATTAACCCAGCGATGGGTGTCAATAGTGAGCTCCACAGGCTGTACCCATTATGGGATCGACCCAGGTTTTCCCTTGTGATTAGCGAATTCCTTTACCAGAAGGCTATCAGACCCCAAGGAAATTATTATTGGAATGGTAATCTTATGAAAATGTCTGGTTTACGTACAGAAGGAAATAATATACCACCGTACAACACTTGGTTAATGGTTTATATGACCAGAAGAACACAGCTGACCAAGCGGTCTGGTATGACGCTGCAACATGCTGTGTATAGTTGCGTCCCTTTGTTGTGTCAGGATCCTGAGAGTGTTGATGGCCAATCCCTCTTTTACCACCTGGGATGCTTCAGAGAAACTAACATACTTATCAGTTTTCTTATATTAACGCTAACACAAACTGCTTTGAGTAGAAGTCATATGATATCGCAATAATCATCAATGAGGTTTTTTATTCTTTGAGCAGCATTTCAGTCTTCACCAAGAGGTGTGGAAGGGAGAACCATGACGCCCAGGGTCCCAGACGTTTTTTCTCTTTTCAAAACTAACGCATGAGCAAGGACCATAATTGACCGAATGTGCATGTGATTTAAACCCGGACGAGCGGATTCTGATTATCCTGAACATTATTGAACGCAGGATTGTATATTCTTGTGACAAAGTGTCACTTCTGTTACTTCTGCTGGGTGGCCCACGACCCGGGTTCGATTCCCTACATGGGTACAATGTGTGAAACCGATTTCTGGTGTTCCCTACCGTGATATTGCTGAAATGTTGATAAAAGCGGCGTAAATCTAAACTGAGTCAGCCAGTATTCCAGATGGGTGGCCGACAACGTTACCCACATCAGACATGCATATACTGTACTGTTTTACTCCCGCGTAATGAGTAATTTAACGACCAGAACGTCTTTCAAACTGAAACCGATAATTCAAGACGTATTTCTATCCCTACAAAAATGTTTGACATGTGTTTGAAGTTTTCATAGGGGAAACATTAATACTCTTTTTATTTTTGCTTACATTTTGAAGACGATGACAATTTGAAAGTACAGTTCACTGATTGTAAATGGCGTCAATGCACCTTTTAACCAAATCACAACTCCGCAACAAGTAAACTCATTCCTAAACAGCAGAAAGCTTCGGTGCCATGACTTTGTTGGTCGAACGCTTTTGTAGAAATACAACCACCTCATCGAAACGACAACCTTTGGATTTTGAATACTTTTTTTGTGGCAGTGGTGTAAACAAAAGAGGCAGGTTCGACAAGCTTGTCGTATCATTTCTTCGCGCCTCCGCGTGGGGCCAAAACCCCAAAATAAAAAGTCGTCTGATGTTCTGGGAATATGGAACAAAACCCGCGCATGCGTAAAACGATCTTTCATTTTCACCTAACGCTTGTTAGTCACGAAATAATATGATACATCGGTCATAATCCCGTCGATTGATTCAAACCTATCGGTGGTAGTAATTGTAACTTCCTTAATCCGAACGCGATTTTTACGTAGCTCAATAACTCTATAGATTTCTTTTGTACCGACTGGCTTTCGTCGCCTAATCTCGACGAGTCTACGTAACGCCGCCAGCGTATATGAGATGTGCCCCTTGCTTGATGAACTGTACACTTGATCAAATGTACGTATTGCTTAATTCCAGTGCACATTGTATTGGAGGCGGTAACATATTCACGAAGCTTCACGATCAATTCACGTCACACACCCTTTGTTGGATGTCTGTAACAAGGCATAAAAGAAGATGTAATGAATTTAGGGACAAAAGTAAGACTGTTCCAGTTTGGATTGTTGCTGATTGTGTTAGCAATAATATACTGTATGTTAGGGTACGGGTGGTCATGTCGTCTAACGCGCTGTAATTCGTTGTGAAGAGTTGCCGCCCTTTGTTATGTTATCGTTGTTTTGAATACGCTGATTGTGATCTTTGGTGATGGAGTTTAAATGTGAAAAATACGCAGCGTCAGGCAGAGCCATTTTTGTAATACTATATTGAGGAATTTGGTATTAGTAAGTGAGTGAGTTTAGTTTTACGCCGATTTTAGCAATATTCCAGCAATATCACGGCGGGCGACACCAGAAATGGGCTTCACATATTGAGGCATGTGGGGAATCGAACCCGGGTCTTCGTCGTGAGGAGCGAACGCTTTAACCACTTGGCTACCCCACCGCCCTGATTTTGGTATGAAACGATGCTAACGATGAGAAAGGAAGGTCTTACACTGCAGGCAACAAACGAGTGTGATTGTGAAGGGTAGTAATTTTGTGGAACATTGATAGACAGGAATATCCAACTAACTTCTTTAATGAAATAACTCAATTGATCGAGCGGTCTGGCTACATTCCTCGGTAGAACAAGTCCCGTATGCTAACGTGATCTTGCTCATTCTATCAACTTCTGGTATAGTCAGGACCAAACTCAAAGATTTATACATTCCCGCTACATGGCTGACCAGTTGCCGAGCCTGGCATAAAAAGAATTAACAAACGAATGGCATCATTCATATTTAATGCTTTAAGCATCATTGCATTGATTGAGTGAGTGAGTTTAGTTTTACGCCGCACCCAGCAATATTCCAGCTATATGTAAAGCGGTCTGTAAATAATCGAGTCTGGACCAGACAATCCAGTGATCAACAGCATGAGCATCGATCTGTGCAATGGGGAACCGATGACATGTGTCAACCAAGCCAGCGAGCCTGACCACCCGATCCCGTTGGTTGCCTCTTAAGACAAGCATGGGTCACTGAAGATCAATTCTAACCCGGATCTTCATGGGTTCATTGCATTGATATGACGGCGGTAGGTTTACTTGTAGTGGGCGTCACACATTGTACCAATGGAAGAGGTGAGCGAGTATGTTCTCCTAGCTACAATCCAATATTCCATATCACGCCAGGGGACACCAGAAATGGGCTTCAAACATTGCATACGTGCAGGAAATCGAATCCGGACTTTTCACGTCATCTACTGGGCTACCTTACCGCCCCCAGGGAACTGAATGTACGATCGACATCGTGGATTAGAAATAGGACGTATTTGGTGGTGAATATCGAAGATAGGTACAAAATATTTCGAGTTATCCGACACAACTGCAAAAGGACGACTAGATAAGGAATACGCTTGGGCCAGGCTTTTACTTCGAGACAACTATAAGTTCGATACATCAATGTTCGACACAACGGTGTTTGAATGTGAAATTAAAATCATGGAATTAATCACTACTCGTAATATATAGAGGATATTATATGAGTGCCCATGTCATACTATGTTTACAGAAGAAACGTGACGTCATAGCCTTGTTCGTGACGTCACGTCACCATGACAAAGTGATATTTTGCCCTAGGGCATCGTATGAAAAATATGAACCCCGTAGGTAATAAATGCCAGCCTGTGTTTGAAAGTAGATTTGGTTTTATTTTCCTCAATTTGACGACTTCGGTAATAAACAGAATATTATATTCGTGCCCATATCATACTATGTTTAGGACACTCGTGCCTAAATATCGGTATATCCCTTGCTCTCGCTCGGGAAATACCAACATTTAGGCACTCGTGTCGTAAACATAGTATGACATGGGCACTCATATAATATCCTCTATATATGCATGCATGCAGACAGGTGACGTTATTCTTATGTGCATTGTTCAGCATGTATGGCCCAGTGTTTGTGACACGAAAGGGGCTTTGATGTCAGTGACGTCAATCCGAAACATGACTGCAGTCGTTTTATCAGGATTGTATTTTATCCTAAATGTTAGGTTGACACGTTTACATTACCTGCGGTATTTTAGCTGACGTGAACTGTGTACCTGTCAGTGTTAGTGAGTAAAAACGTGTATGTGGTTTTACGCCGCTTTTAGGAACATTCTTGCAATATCACGGCAGGGGACACGCGAAATGTGCTTCACACATTGTACCTATGTTGGGACTAGAACCCGGTCTTCGGTGTGACAAGTGAACCGTTTAACCACTAGGCTACCCCACCGCCCCGTCCTGTGTAAAGACAGCGGTGGTCAACTGTATACTTAGACTAACGCTTAGTCACGGAATATATATAATTTTTTGATAGTAACAATTAAATTGAAAAGGAGCCCCAGTGAGATGGGAATCTCAGAACCTGAACCTGAACCTGAACCTGAAATCTAGACTTGCTTCAATTAGGGCTTTAGCACTGCAGATAGGGCTTGGCAGTAGGGGAAATAATGTGGTTCAGGGACTGTGACACAGACGACTGTAAACGCTATTAATTTGCATACATCATACAGACATGGTAAGAGTCATACGGCGAGGTTTAACGTAACGTACACGATTATTTATCCTCGCTTCGAACATAATGTCTGAAATTGAGTTTCAACACCATCACATATCGTTTAACGACACTCAAATTCGATGACATCACAGCGTGTCGGTTTGATGTTGCAGGAAATCCACAACAGGTTTAGGTCTAAGACATTTACCACTGTCTTGAAAACCAGGAGCAATGGAATGGTGCTGACAGACGTAGACATATAATCAGGGCGAACCAGGGATTCTGGAACTCCGAAAGGACGCATCTCTGCCCACGACGTGTGTATTGAATTGAAGGAATATATGTTTTATATGAGTGAGTGTGAGTGAGTGAGTTGGGTTTTACGTCGCTTTTAGCAATATTCCAGCAATATCACGACGGGGGACACCAGAAATGGGCTTCACACATTGTGCCCATGTGGGGAATCGAACCCGGGTCTTCGGCGTGACGAGCCAACGTTTTAACCATTAGGCTACCCCACCGCCCCTGTTTTATATAAAGGCCTTATGTTACACAAAGGGTATCTTCAAAGGGTAGCATAGAAATACCAAACTTTAGAACTTGTTTTTAAACTGAAGATATCCTTCCCGTTGTCACTATCAGTTCTAGCCCATTTTTGGTGTCCTCTGGAGTGACTAGAAAACCCAACCAAGTCGCTCAGTATCAGTTTAACAGTTATACCGTTTGTTATCAAACAATGGAAAATGTCACGTACATCCGTCACTTCTCGAACATGGAATACATTGCTGTTATAATTGTACTTTGGCTCATGTAGGTCGCCTTTGCGCTCGTCAACTCAAAGCTTAACACGAGTCGTATCCCAACCCCAGTTATAACCAAACAGCGCACCTATGTTAAAGTCCCGTACCACGTGACAATAGACGGGCTATGTATTGACTCTATCACAGAAAGCAGTATATGAATCCCGTGTTAGTCTCGAGTGGCTGTGTTAAGGTAGATTACCTCTCTATCAAGCAACACTGGTCAGCAGAGGAGCAGACGACATTTCAGTGAAAACGCAGACGGCATTTCAGTGAAAACGCAGACGACACCCCATGGATATGTTTCCAACAAAGCATCATATTTAAGGAAAAGGTGATTTCTGAAACTGACATATTAACTCTAGTGAAGTAAGCCCTGCCAGACGCTTAAACCGTGGGACGAACTTTGTGCAAAGGTTAATCCTTTGATCGTTGAAACAACCAGATTTGGTTTGTATGAAAGGAATAGCACAAAAGGTACAACGATTATCAGGTAATCCAATGTGATAGACTGGCACTGCTGACTCGGGCATGAGCGTCGCCTATACCTCCAACGAAGAGTGTTTCCCGAGGCGTTATGTGTAAGAACTATGCTTGATTAACCCAGACTTTGCTGTGCATTTGCTACCACAATGAAATTTCGGTCCGAAGAAAGTCAGTCCCCATTTTCAAGCAAATCGGGGTCTGTTATGGATGGAAAAAGACCCAGGATCCTTGTAAATAACTTCATGACAGACAATTGTCCAGGCAGACAAAGAACAAAGTCAGTCTTGTTCAGTGCGGATGAACAGAATGACAACGTACAAGAAACGTCTGAGGATAACAGATCGGTTTCTCAATGTCCAGTAGACAACGGCAACAGACGCCGTTCCAAAGGAACCGTTTCTAATGGACCCCGGTCAAATGACAGAAAAAGTTCCGATTCGGTATCCTTAGAGAAGAACTTCAGGTCCTCAACCCCGAAGTCCATGTCTTCAAGTCGAAATAGCGTGTCCTCCTTACGACGTATTTCGGTGAAGTCAGGGAACACGAACAGGTCTTCACGTGCTTTGGGACAAAGGACAGAAAGCATATCGTCTGATTCAACAGAGGAGAGCAACTCTCTCCAGTTTTCGACAAACTCTAACAGTGTTGTGTCTGCCTGGGACGCCTTCGGCGATCACGTGAAAAACGTGCACGAACCCTCGGAGTACGTGTGCCGGAAGTCGCGAGTTTCCTTTCAAGCAAGTGACACTTTTCAAAAGACAATGACGGACCTTTTTGGAATGCCAGAATACGGGAGGGAACCAGAGGTTCCTAAATTCAAATCAAAGGTAGGCAACTTGGGTAGTGTAGCATCTAGGCTCATTGCCACTACCCGGAGGAGGCGGAAGGCCACCACCGAGGAAGAGAAACGTCTCGCTTTGGAAGCTGCCAAACCAAGCAAGACTGTCGTGGAAAACGCCAGGAGGGGCTGGAGGGTTCTGAGACGACACGTCAATGAATCTATTGCCGAGAAGAAGGGGAGTAGTGCTGCATTCAATTGGGCAATGTTGACACAGACTGTACGAGGACTCACAGACATGCAGCGAGCCCGCATTGATCTGTACAAAAGGTACGGTATCATCCCAACCGTGCAACCAGATGGGACAACCGTTCATGTAAACACAATGCTCAGTGAAAGAGCTCGTGCCGCGTCTGCTAATAGTGTTATCCCCAGTACAGCTCCACCCGCCCGTCCGAAGGCCAAGTCTTTAGTTTCGAAGCAGGCGACACATTCAAGAAGGATTGAAAACCACTTCCAGAAGCCCAGGGTTTCTTGAGGGTATCCTATAGTACATATTTAGACTATTGATGTTATTTTTGGCTTATGGACAGAGGGTTTTAAATGGTCGGGGAATGAGGTCGGACTTGGGTGTATTCAATTCATCACTGATCACCTCCTCCGTTCATCGCGTTCCAACAACGAATATGTCCTATTGAACTGTGTCGGAAACCGTGCCGAAACCTTGACGGTAGGGATGACTGGAAGATTATTTCTCGGTTAATACAATTAATTATGTGTGCGCATGAACGTAACAATGAATTTCTTGATTGTGCCTTATTCAAGAGATTAGGTATATGCTTCCTGGACACAGGCATTGTGTGAAACACCTATGTAATACAACAGATCTACACGATAACCGTCCGAGAATTATTGTTCAGAGAAGGATCCAAGATTTTGAAAGAAGTAGGTTGATTTTTCCCAAGTTTCGAAATGAACAAAAACATGCTAGGCTGATACCGACTACATTGAATTGTCTGGTCCTACAATAGCCCTTCCTGGAACACATTTTCGTATTTTAATGGCCTGTTCCTCTTTAACAAGGAATGCTGTGAAGGCCTATGGAACTGGTGTGTTGTTTGAAACACACGAGTTGTTCACTGTCGGGGATAAACTACACGTTGAGACTTCCCAAGGTCTATTTCTCCTCCTGTACAAAGTGGAGGTCAGTGACGTGATGGGGTCAAGGAACTTCGTCGACTCCGGTTATAACGAGCTCGATGGCATCTTCACAATCAGTTTGGTATATCCGAAGTTGGTTATCGTTCAGTTATGTATTAAAAACCGGGATGATGATTTCATCGGTTGTCACGACGTTTCGGTATATCAGATTTCGTTACATCGGGAGTTGGTTGTGTCGAGATTCAAGTGTTCTGAGCATAACTGTACTTCTCCGAGACACGCGGATTGTGTCTTTTGAACTCAAACGTGGTTTCAACCACACTCTGTATTAAAACTGTACCTCTAACAAACAATATCTCAAGAACTAACACACTGGAGTATCTGAACAAGAGATACCCCTGTTGATCCTCAAGTATAATGTGTTTTGCAACCTAAAGGACATTACTATGACATGTGCTGATATTACGACTTCATCCACTAAATGCTCAACTTGTACATAAACGTGAGTTTACATCATCTTTTATAACATTAAATTTAATGTCTCAAATGTTTCAACGAGTATTTATTCACTGTCTTCACATCCAGTGGAATGTTTCGGCTGATGTTTAGACTGGTTGTTCTCTGGCGCTGGTTCTACATATTTAACCAATATGTTATTAAGCACACGAACATGCATGCTGGAATATACTTGACGATGCATTGGAGTGAGTGAGTTTAGTTTTACGCCATTCAGCAATATTCTGTTGATCACTGGATTGTCTGGTCCAGATTCCATTATTTACAGACCGCCGCCATAAAGCTGAAATATTGCTGAGTGCGGCGTAAAACTAAATTCACGCACTCACTTTAATAACACAAATAAATAATGCTTTACTGCTTCTATATAGTATACATCACATAGGGCGGGGATTAGTGGCTAACCATATCTCATTACGACAGAGGTCTGGGTTCGATTCGCGACATGGATGCAATGGATGAAGGTCATTTCTGGTGTCTCAGACGTTTACTCATGGACAATAGAACAAAGGTTATGTTTTAATTGTAGTTTGACGCCACAACAGTACGATCCACTACCCGTGTCATCCCCAAAGACATAGAAAGCTGGTACTTGTTACCCTGGGGGATATAACATGGACTGGGTATCCATCTTGAAGTGCTGCATGTTGTCTCAGTGCGCTAGCACTTTAAAAGCACCAGTACGTCGCTGTTGGTTCTCTTTCTGTTTTATGACGACGGTCTGTAAATAATCAAGTCTGAAGCAGCCCGGTGGTTGACACCATGAGCATCAATCTACGCAACTGGGATGCGATGACATGTGTCAACCAAGTAAAACCTGCCTGACCACCCGATCCCGTTAGTCGCCTCTTACGACAAACATGGGTTACTGAAGACCAATTCTTACCCGGATCTTCACGGCTCTTCATCACAAGGACAGGTGGGATAAACGGTATGGTACCAATGTACCTACAGTTCATTCTGCCTACAGTCCGTTTTGGGTATAATTTTAACTGTAGGCAGATTAGGAATTGAAAAAACACCCCTTAGGATAGGATATAATGAACTGACCCAATGACAACGAGTTTGTTGTCAGCTTCCACTCCTGGAAAAAGGTCATTTAGTAATATGACAGAAATGAATCATGTTTTGACTGGTAAGCCTTCTCAAACTTCTCAAACGTCTATGCCATCTCAATAAATTATCTTGTGACTTAAACAAACAGGTTGTCATATCGATTTTTGGTATTACGTCGAGTCTTTGAACGTCATTTGTAGAAGTGATACACATAAAGGCGAGATGTCAACTTTCATATTTGACGAACACGACTTTGTGGAGTATATTCTTACTCATTTATCATCCACCTGATGAAGGAGTTTAATAATGCACCCCGAAACGTCGTGTTCCTAAAAACAGAAGTTGACATCAATAAATTCTCAGCTTTACGGTATGACGTAATCGGTTACGGTTTTCGTATTTCAGTAAGACTATGCCACTTTGTAAATACTGTTTCATGAGGTATGGAGTATAGCATGGAATACTGCATAAATATTTTATATGGGAAAGAAGCCTGCGGTGGATAATTATGTATTAAACTGTCATAGCGTTCTTAATCCAATCGCGCGGTAAGAATGTGGCTAGTTTTCATAACCGCCACACATGCCTGAATAGACCAGCAAATATGACATGGAATAAAGTATTGACCACTGACCTCCAGCTTGACCACAGGAGTAGCACCAAAGCACCAGATCTCATTAGGACTCGTGGTCAGTGATGCAGGATAAATAAGAAAATACGGTTTATGTACAATAGTTAAGTCATTCGCAGGAGCTGTTATACAAAGAGACGTATGACGTAAAGCGTAATACAGGCTTGTGTCGTGAAGAGTGGACGGAACGTACTAACATAATTCTGGCAGTAGAAATGTAAGGAAGACCTTGACCTAGGCCTTGACATTAATATACTACTATTGTCAGGGGATAAACAGGCTTTTGCTATCAAATTATTTCGCTTAAATTGATGCAAGAAATTCCACTGAATCACCAGCCACTGCTTCATGAAAGCAGTTACAAGCACATGTTGCACGTGCATTTCCCGTTCCGATCTTCAACACTTACAACAGCTTTCACGATTTCGGATCCGTTCTCTGCAGGGGCTAATTTGCCTATCACGCAATGTTCTTGACACACACATTTTTAACTTTCGTCAGAGCTTTCTCAATTACCCAGATCCAACTGTAAAGATAATCAAAAGTAGTATATATGCATGTAAATCTAACAATTAGTTGACATCAACTGTAATAATGAGTGCCCTGTTGAAATATTTATAGGATATTGAAACCTCAATGAACCCAACGTGCTCCGAGCTATGGGCGGGTCCCCAGTGAGATTGTCACTTTAACCTAAATATATGTTTAAAACTCAGTGAACATATTCACAAACACGTCTCTACAGACTGCTTAATCCATGTATGAATACGACTTGTGTTATTGTTCAGCGTTGATGAGACGTTCTCGTGGCGCAGAGAGAGAATAACCCCGTGAATCCAGAAACCCGTACATTCCGGACAAGTGGTAACATTACAAATGACGACATTACTATGTTATCATTCTTTGGTTAATTTGCATGAAAACGACTATTTAAAGAATTTCTTCCCCTGTGCAATATACTTAAACATTTACTCTGTTTTGATTGAAAACTGCAATAACATTACCAACGTCATCTGGGTGAGTGAGTATGGTTTTACACCGCTTTTCACACATTTCCCCATGTGGGGAATCGAACCAGGGTCTTCAGCGTGTCATGCGAACGCATTAACCTCTAGGCTACCCCACCACCCCACAAACGTCATCTAATAGACGCGGTGTTGGTCTCAGAGTCCAGTTTCCAGTAGAAAGGGCGTTGGCCTAAGCCTGGTTCCACATCTGACCTTATCCCTTAGTGTATGGTACATAGCAAAGTGTGGGCTTGTCTCACCGGGTGAACTCTACAGTTTCACCTTGGGTTCACTAAGGTCCGCTATTGAAATCACAGCAAATAGTTTATTGTACGACCATTTATCAATACTAGTCGATATTCTATATTTAGACGTCTTCGGTTATTACCAGAGAGCTGAGAATAAATGACGATTAAGGAGTTCCATATTGGTATAAAATGGAACCTTGGGACAAATGTCGGTGGCCTAATCTTGATCGTTTATGCTTGCGGGCGATAGGTACAAATCGAACGCTCATTCCAAACTGGGGAAGATTAAAAGTGGTTAAAACGTTCGTCACGCCGAAGACCAGGGTTCGATTCCAACCATGGGTGCAATGTGTGAGGCCCATTTGTGATGTCCACCGTCGTGATATTGCTGCATTATTGCTAAAACGGGGTAAAACTAAACTCACTCACACACTCCCAAACACTGCTTCATCTCCAAACGAGGCTTTCGTTATAATTCCGGGGTACGTTTTTCTACCAACATTTCCTTATTTTCGAAATTCGTTCAATCAAGACGTTTTTGACACTGATGGGAATTTGGTTCAGGGGTATTTATGTCACGTGATACTTAAGGTCTTCCACCCTTTGAGGTAATCGGTCGATGACTGCCTTTAAAGATTTGACCACCATCCGTGACATGCGTTATATACCTCCTTCATCGTTTCAATGAACCGTCTTCTTTCAAATTACAACTATCATTAGCAATCCACGGACGCTTAAGAACAAAGGTGAATATAACACCTACTGTAAACACTCCTTTGAGAAATGTGTACCGTGCCCGGCTCTCTAACGCCGACTTAAGGTGAACCACGGTTCATAACACAGATATTGACATTAAAACTTCGCTCTCGAAATCTTATCTATCTCGGACCAAAGGTTGAACAACCGCTGTGATCGTTTCCTATGTTAGCCGGGAGATCACACACATACACTCCAAATGACATGCAATCCGAACATACCGGGTAATTTACTGAAACACCTCTGATCGATCTAGCAGCCGTGTTGGAAAACACAAAAGGTTTCTTTGGTCACGGAGGTAAGAATAAAGGGTATGACACGATATATCGCAGTTGGATTTGAAAGTTTTAAAATCTATTTTTGTTTATTGTACTCATGTTCTTCTGAACAAAACTTTAAACTGCATTAACGGGGGGATGGTTTAAACCCAAATTACAGGTAGAACATTTATGTTCATTTTCTGAAACTGATATAGAGGACGAATTCCATGTCTTAATATTGTGTCCCAAATATATGGATCTGAGACGAATGTATTAAAACTCATAAGAAATAACTCATAAAATCTGTCGTAGAAACGACGTGTTTTGACTGGTTAAGTGTGCTTTCCACACTGTGAAAGACACTAAGATAATCTACTATGATGAAAATATTTGTAATTTAGTGTACACTTTGGAAATTTTCCGTTAGTTTGTTTTGTTTGTTTGTTGTTTAACGCTACACTCAGCAATATTCCAGCTATATGGCGGCGGTCTGAGAATAATCGAGTCTGGACCAGACAATCCAGTGATCAATATCATGAACATCTAAGTGGTGATGTAGGGTCGGAATTGGTAGGGTAGCAACTCTCAACTAAATTGCTGAGCCACGTATTATGCGTGTGGATGTATACTGTAATATAATCTATCTGGCCTGAGATCCATATATAACATTTCACTTGACACGAATACTGTTTCGCTCGCCTCCAACCGAATTACACTCACGGCCCTGTCTGCTCGTCGAAGCTGTCCGGAAAATGACGAAGTTGTTTTCCGGAAAGTAACGATTCTGGCCGATAGCACGTCGAGGAGATTTTACAACACAAACAAGCACTTGCCTTTCCAAATAGCCACTTTAAGGTTTAAAGCTCGTATAAGAAGTCTAGGACCGGTTCCTCCCCTCTCGACCTCTATATATTGTGTTTGCCGTATCCACATATACAGCTTTGTTTATTTCTAATACCAACACGCCAAGAGCACTATGTTAACAACCTCTTCTGACCGAAAGAATAGAAGTAATGATAACACTAGACTGTTCGAGGATTGTTTTGAAGACTTGTGTCAAAAGGGTATTTATG